CAGACGGCTATTATGGAGTCATGTACCAATTGTAGTACATGACGTAGTAGTCACGCACCTACAAAATACTTTGCAGGATAATATTTAAATTGCCTAGCATGCCTGCAAATCCGCAGAGCGTTGGTGTGTACAGTAGGGACCTCCGGATTCTGCTCGAAAAGGTGGCAGATTCTGCTCGAAAAGGTGGCAGATTCTGCTCGAAAAGCAGTGAAATAATTAATTGGCAGAACCATACAAACCTTATGGCGGGCATTTCCTCGAATTCTGCTCCATTTTTTATCCACATACACTTTGATCCTAGAGGGTGGTGCCGTTCCCACGACGGATGCGGAAAACCGGGCTTCCAGCCGAGTCTCACGCGAACAGTGAAATTTTTATTTTATATAATTATTTATACCAAACATGGATGAAACTTACTAGAAAAAGTACCGAATTCTGCCAATTTTTCTGCCGGTCGACTCCGCCGGACCCTAGTGTACAGTCCCGCTTGGATGTTCATTCTGTGCTAGGCCTTGGCGGATAATGCTCGAAAAGGTGGCAGATTCTGCTTTTTTTGCACCGAAATTGGCAGAACCATACAAACCTTATGGCGGGCAATTCCTCGAATTCTGCTCCATTTCTTTATCCACATACCAAACATGCATGAAACTTACCAGAAAAAGTACCGAATTCTGCCAATTTTTCTGCCGGCATTATCCGCCAAGGCCTATTCTGTGCTATGCTTGCATGTACATTAATTTTTACCAATTTCAGCCTCATAATAATTAATGGCAAACAATCGCTTTTCCAGCTTCTTCACTTTGGTTATAACTAATGACTAGCTAGATCTTTGTCAGAAAAAGGTTTTCGTATGAAATGCCTTCATGGCCCATTTCTTAGTGGAAATAGCAGAAAACACAATAGGGTCCTGCACATTCAGCGCCCAACCGTGGTTTCCATTCCATTGCGTATCTTGGTGCCGACAGGTGGAATTAGCCCTTGGCGGATTATGCCGGCATAATATTTGGCATAATCTTGGGATTTCGTCAAAATATTATGCTCCGGCATAATATACGGATTCCAACGTGTAATGTCGGCATAATCTTTCGGTGTAGACAACAGTTATGCTTAGGGCATAATGCAGCTTTGTCAGAAAGCCTGCGGATGTTTTTTTAAACCCCAGTTACGACTCCTTGTAATAATAATAATAATAATAATATCTTTATTAGGATGACCCAGAGGCTTGTCGCCTATCAAGGGTGTCATAGCCATTGGCCGATTATGCTGGTATAATATTTGGCATAATCTTGGGATTTCGTCAAAACATTATGCTCCGGCATAATTATACGGATTCCAACGTGTAAGGTCGGCATAATCTTTCGGTTTAGACAAAAATTATGCTTAGGGCATGGCCGTGTGTGTACGCATGGTTTCTCAATCCTCTATGTCCAGCGTGAATACATAGTGGAACCGAGCATAATTCAGCATATTTATATCAGCATATTTGTTGGCATAGTTGTGGCATAATCAAAAGCATAATTTGACGATTGGCCGAGCATAGTCCGCCAATGGCTAGCGTGAACCCATCTCAGCTCAAGATAGGAGTTGCACACTCTTGGTTATGTACTCTTGGTGAAACGCAGAGAAATCACGTAGGCCCGTTAACTCTCTTCGCGTCCCCGTAACGTAAAGAAAATCTGTTCTGCTCTACGGTCACGTAGAGAAATCACGTGGAATTTGTACTGGGACTTTCTTTCCCCTTCCGTATTTGGCAGTTTTCTGCCTGCACTTGATCGGTGCCCAGCAGATCTGTACGCATTTTCTCTGCGTGTGCCACTCCCCTTGATAGGCGCTAGGCGACAAGCCTCTGGGTCATCCTAATAAAGATAGTAGGGAGGTTTAGTACCACGTAATCCGTGGGTACTTTACGTGTGTGTACCACGTGATACTCAGTAACCCACGGACAGACGTTTTCTGATTCACGACATACCGTGTAAAACCGCTCCCAGGCAGGACTTGAACCAGGTACCTCTCGTATCTCAATCATGGTCTTTAACCAACCCACTGTGCCTGCCTGGAAGGCTTATAGGCTGAACACCTAGTCTCCTAGTGTACATCAGCTCAGATCAGCAGCCTTTTCGCGTTGATATCGCCAAGCAAGCTTGGCTAGGCGAACTGGAGTATAGAATGAGGAACGAGTGGGGGTCAAAGAGGTGCTGATACGCATGCAAATGCAGAATAGGCAACAACGAAGAAATTAATTTCGTTTTTGTTTAGGACTGTTTTGATAATGATACAGTCATTATTATCATAGCAGTCCTAAACACACACGAACTGTCAACTATTTACTTCAACAACTAAAACCCGAAAACTGCGCGCGCCGACCACCGCGTAACATAGCAGAATCGACGGATTTGATCGAGTTGATCGAAAATCAAGATCGGAATCAAAATCTGGACGATCAGGTTGATCAGCAACATGATTTTTTTTAAGATGCTATGATGTATGATGGCATGCTGCTTGAGTGAACCAGAGGCACGATGCCCTGGACTTCACGATAGGGATCCGGGATCTAGCTGCAACCTATTTTCCAGGCATCTCATTTGACATTTGACATTTTCGGCCACGTAGTCGCCAAAGGTTTGAGCACGTGCTTTTCAGGTGCACCCCAGACAGATCTACTTGACGGGTACGGAAATGCATCCACGGCTATTTCGCGTATCTGGTAAGTTGGTCGCGTGTTTCGTGCATTTTTGAGGATGCCAACAGTAATTTTGTATTGCGCGCATGGATGACATCTGTTGGCGGAGCGACATAGCTCGACAAAGAGAATACTGTTGATTCCTTTCGACATAATGTCTCCATTCCCACCTGATCTATATTTCTGCAACCAGATAACGTGATGGGCTCAACACTTTATTGGTGCTTTGAGCATAGTCATCCGAGTCCTAGAAATCGAATTTTCATTACGAGCTCGGATTTTCAAAATATCCTCCTTGCCATTTCGATGGAGTCGCGCTGAGACCAAACGCTGCGTGGTCTGAACCAGCCCTGGTTTGTCACTGATTAGAGTGTCGACCTTTTGGAGACAAATAGTTGCTCGACAAGAAAATTACAACAAGCAGACTTACGCTCGCTCCTCCCCGAACCTGAGGAAAACCCACACCTTGCTGCGTGCTGCGAACTCCGGCAACTCGGGTAAATTAAATAATTGTCGATCAACTCGATCAAATCCGTGGATTCTTCTGTGTCACCATGGTCACGCGGTGGTCGGCGCACGCCCAGTTTCAGGACGAAAAAAATACCGCAGATATTCGAGATTTGTTCAATATTTTTGGCACTTCTGCAGAGCTTTGCTGCTAGTGAAATCCGAGTCGTTCAGGGAAGGAAATGGCTGTTGTTTGGAGTGACAAGGTTTGTCAGTTCAAATTTCTTGTCAGACTCGGTAGAGGTGACCACGCTGCAGTGTTTGGCGTGCTGGGGTCTGGAGCGGTGCCTGGTGTTGGAGCTTGAGGAGTCGCTTTCCGTCGTCGGGTAGGAAATTGGCAATGTTGCAATGTGGGGAAGTGAAAATATTCAAATTTGTTTATTTCCAGAAAGCGTGGCACATTTTTCACGAGACATGTCCTGGGTGGTAGTGAAGATATTCCACTGTCCTGCAGTGCATGGTTCAGAAAAATCGACGGCGTAAATGGTTCCTGCTATGGCCCATGAAATTTGGCTATTTTAGCGATAATATAGTGATATTTGGAGATGATGGCCCTTGCTTTCCTGGATGTAGCCATGACTCTATGTGGTGGTGATGTGAAGACTACTCAGGTGAGGTAATGTTGGCATGGTGGTGGTTTGTTCTGAGCTCCACTGTGTATGCTGTACCAGGGCTCGTTTTTGGACCCAATATTTAGTCGTATTTTGGGCTCATTTCGAGGTGGTCCCCAGTTCCAAGGTGTCCGTAAGTTATGAAACGAGCCCTTTTGCATGGTTGTTGTAGACCCCAAAGGAAACCTACTTGCAAAATTTGAGCGAAATCGGAGAGATGACCTAGCCCAGCTTTTCTGGTTTTCTCAGACATGCTCTCTTAGATCACCAGGGTGTTCCAACGAAGCTGCTGAATACGATCTAACTTGGGCTGCTATCACAACTTCCGGCAGCTATTTTCCACACTGTAATGTTGAACCATTTCCATCGCCATCATATTATTTGACAAGTCTGGCCGTTTGGTTTGCGATGTTAAATAAAAAAACAAACAACGAACATCAACTGCTGCACCCTATTATCATCACTTACCTTGGAAAACAGGGCCCGGTTCAAGTCACCAGTGAATAAATGAATGTACGTGGATTGGGAGCTCACCACGAAAAATGGCGGCACAAAATGACGGTACCACCTCCCCCCAAGAAATCGTGTCTGTTGATCACTTCAGTTCTGGCTATAACCGGATAAGACCCAACAAAGCAGAATAACCCATGATCCAGGAAATTCTAGGAACTTACTGAAAGTAACTGGACAAACCGTGGCTAATATTCTAGACATGGTTAGCATGTTGCCGTTCACGCAAGCTTTGACCGCCGGCCTGTACCATTATTGTGTGTTTCCAAGGCATGGTTTGCATTTCGGCTTCTGACCGAACAATCGACTCGTGACGTTGGAATCTTACCGTTTCGTCATTGCACCAAACAGAGCTTTCTATCATCAAACCGATACCAAAACCGCCGCTATTCCGGGTGCTGGGTACGAGAACCGTTGGATTTAGCCTAAACGGTAAAATGCTAACAATTGCCTATTATGAGCAGCGCCCCTAGACATGAAGCTCAACATTTCATGATAGCATCATTGTACTCTGCCTGGTGTGCTGTAAGGTCCTATTCATCTTGCATTTTTGTTCTGTTCTGCCCTTTCTCACTCTCTCTCTCTCTCTCTCTCTCTCTCTCTCTCTCTCACACACACACACACACGCACGCACACACGCACGCACGCACACACACACACACTTACACACACACTCACACATACAGCGCACACAGGGTTACTCCAACTACCGGTATGGATGCCGGACGGATTTTCCACTACTGGGCATGTCTTGTTTTGTGCTTACAACTGTCATTGTACGTTCAAGGCAACTCGGTACAGCCTTACATCCAAGCATCACTCTGCACCAACGGAGATGCCGGGGGCTTTTGTTTTTGCATACCAGGATATACACACATTGCCGGCACACAAAGGTGTAGAATAAATTGCGCGAAATTCAAAACAGAATCCAGTTGCCCTGACGTTTCAGTATGTGAGTACTCTGAACCGAATGTCACATGTGTTTGCCCGGAAGGTCAAGTGATTGTATCGAACAATTGCGTGGACAAGTGTACGACTTGCTCACAGTTTGCCAGCTGCATCAAGACAACGGGAACACTGCAGCCCAATTGCACCTGTAGAGATGGCTACACAGGCAATGGGACACACTGCACTGCCATTGCGCGCCCGACACCTCCCTACAAGAATCCGATTAGTTGCGGTTCCCTGCCGGACTTTGGCGGCGCACAAGCCAGTCAAGATTGCTGTGATACAGACTACGAGTACAACTCTACGTCCGGGCAGTGTCAAAGAGTCTGCGCTAAATTCAATTGCACTGCGAACGCTGAATGTGAGTACGGGCAGCATGCCATTCGTTGCGTCTGCAGCAACGGCTATGTCAACGATTCGAACGCCGAATGCGTCACAAAGGACCCATGCGCCAGCCGCCCATGTTCTCCGCTTGCCAACTGCACCGCCAGTGCAAGTGGAACCGCCCACACTTGCACGTGCAAACCAGGTTACCATGGAAATGGAACTCACTGTTCTGACGACGACGAATGCAGCAATGGAGCAAACACATGCCATGGTAAGGCCGAGTGCAGAAACATGGACGGGTCATTCGTATGCCTGTGTCGAGCGGGATATTCAGGTGACGGGATAACCTCTTGCGATGATATTAATGAATGTGGACAGGCTGACACTTGCCATGACCATTCAACTTGTAACAATACAGAGGGCAGCTACTCATGCAGCTGCAATGCCGGGTTTACTGGCAACTCTACGGGATGCTCTGATACGGATGAGTGCACCTCAGGTAGCCATAACTGTACAGCACCAATGTCCAATTGTACAAACACAATCGGTGGGTATACTTGTGATTGTGATGCGGGGTTCACAGAGTCAGACAATGGTAAATGTGAAAATGTCAATGAATGCTTTCAAGCTATACAAGTGTGCTCCGCGAAAGAAATGTGTAGTGACACGATTGGTTCATATGTATGCCAATGTCCTGCTGGGTACACACGGGGAGGCAACGGTGAATGTGAAAATATCAATGAATGCTCTATAGGTATGTTCGTATGTCCATCGGCAGCAGTTTGTAATGACACAATTGGTTCTTATGTATGCCAATGTCCTGCTGGGTACACACTGGGAGGCAACGGTGAATGTGAAAATGTCAATGAATGCTCTATAGGTATGTTCGTATGTCCATCGGCAGCAGTTTGTATTGACACAATTGGTTCTTATGAATGCCAATGTCCTGCTGGGTACACACTGGGAGGCAACGGTGAATGTGAAAATGTCAATGAATGCTCTATAGGTATGTTCGTATGTCCATCGACAGCAGTTTGTAATGACACAATTGGTTCTTATGAATGCCAATGTCCTGCTGGGTACACACGTGGAGGCAACGGTGAATGTGAAAATATCAATGAATGCTCTATAGCTATGTTCGTATGTCCATCGACAGCAGTTTGTAATGACACAATTGGTTCTTATGTATGCCAATGTCCTGCTGGGTACACACTGGGAGGCAACGGTGAATGTGAAAATATCAATGAATGCTCTATAGGTATGTTCGTATGTCCATCGGCAGCAGTTTGTAATGACACAATTGGTTCTTATGAATGCCAATGTCCTGCTGGGTACATACTGGGAGGCAACGGTGAATGTGAAAATATCAATGAATGCTCTATAGGTATGTTCGTATGTCCATCGGCAGCAGTTTGTAATGACACAATTGGTTCTTATGAATGCCAATGTCCTGCTGGGTACACACTGGGAGGCAACGGTGAATGTGAAAATGTCAATGAATGCTCTATAGGTATGTTCGTATGTCCATCGGCAGCAGTTTGTATTGACACAATTGGTTCTTATGAATGCCAATGTCCTGCTGGGTACACACTGGGAGGCAACGGTGAATGTGAAAATGTCAATGAATGCTCTATAGGTATGTTCGTATGTCCATCGACAGCAGTTTGTAATGACACAATTGGTTCTTATGTATGCCAATGTCCTGCTGGGTACACACTGGGAGGCAACGGTGAATGTGAAAATATCAATGAATGCTCTATAGGTATGTTCGTATGTCCATCGGCAGCAGTTTGTATTGACACAATTGGTTCTTATGAATGCCAATGTCCTGCTGGGTACACACTGGGAGGCAACGGTGAATGTAAAAATGTCAATGAATGCTCTATAGGTATGTTCGTATGTCCATCGACAGCAGTTTGTAATGACACAATTGGTTCTTATGAATGCCAATGTCCTGCTGGGTACACACTGGGAGGCAACGGTGAATGTGAAAATGTCAATGAATGCTCTATAGGTATGTTCGTATGTCCATCGACAGCAGTTTGTAATGACACAATTGGTTCTTATGTATGCCAATGTCCTGCTGGGTACACACTGGGAGGCAACGGTGAATGTGAAAATATCAATGAATGCTCTATAGGTATGTTCGTATGTCCATCGACAGCAGTTTGTAATGACACAATTGGTTCTTATGTATGCCAATGTCCTGCTGGGTACACACTGGGAGGCAACGGTGAATGTGAAAATGTCAATGAATGCTCTATAGGTATGTTCGTATGTCCATCGGCAGCAGTTTGTATTGACACAATTGGTTCTTATGAATGCCAATGTCCTGCTGGGTACACACTGGGAGGCAACGGTGAATGTAAAAATGTCAATGAATGCTCTATAGGTATGTTCGTATGTCCATCGACAGCAGTTTGTATTGACACAATTGGTTCTTATGAATGCCAATGTCCTGCTGGGTACACACTGGGAGGCAACGGTGAATGTGAAAATGTCAATGAATGCTCTATAGGTATGTTCGTATGTCCATCGACAGCAGTTTGTAATGACACAATAGGTTCTTATGAATGCCAATGTCCTGCTGGGTACACACGTGGAGGCAACGGTGAATGTGAAAATATCAATGAATGCTCTATAGGTATGTTCGTATGTCCATCGACAGCAGTTTGTAATGACACAATTGGTTCTTATGAATGCCAATGTCCTGCTGGGTACACACGTGGAGGCAACGGTGAATGTGAAAATATCAATGAATGCTCTATAGGTATGTTCGTATGTCCATCGGCAGCAGTTTGTAATGACACAATTGGTTCTTATGAATGCCAATGTCCTGCTGGGTACACACTGGGAGGCAACGGTGAATGTGAAAATGTCAATGAATGCTCTATAGGTATGTTCGTATGTCCATCGGCAGCAGTTTGTATTGACACAATTGGTTCTTATGAATGCCAATGTCCTGCTGGGTACACACTGGGAGGCAACGGTGAATGTGAAAATATCAATGAATGCTCTATAGGTATGTTCGTATGTCCATCGGCAGCAGTTTGTAATGACACAATTGGTTCTTATGAATGCCAATGTCCTGCTGGGTACACACGTGGAGGCAACGGTGAATGTGAAAATATCAATGAATGCTCTATAGGTATGTTCGTATGTCCATCGGCAGCAGTTTGTAATGACACAATTGGTTCTTATGTATGCCAATGTCCTGCTGGGTACACACGTGGAGGCAACGGTGAATGTGAAAATATCAATGAATGCTCTATAGGTATGTTCGTATGTCCATCGACAGCAGTTTGTAATGACACTATTGGTTCTTATGTATGCCAATGTCCTGCTGGGTTCACACTGGGAGGCAATGGTGAATGTGAAAATATCAATGAATGCTCTATAGGTATGTTCGTATGTCCATCGGCAGCAGTTTGTAATGACACAATTGGTTCTTATGAATGCCAATGTCCTGCTGGGTACACACGTGGAGGCAACGGTGAATGTGAAAATATCAATGAATGCTCTATAGGTATGTTCGTATGTCCATCGGCAGCAGTTTGTATTGACACAATTGGTTCTTATGAATGCCAATGTCCTGCTGGGTTCACACTGGGAGGCAATGGTGAATGTGAAAATGTCAATGAATGCTCTATAGGTATGTTCGTATGTCCATCGGCAGCAGTTTGTAATGACACAATTGGTTCTTATGTATGCCAATGTCCTGCTGGGTACACACGTGGAGGCAACGGTGAATGTGAAAATATCAATGAATGCTCTATAGGTATGTTCGTATGTCCATCGGCAGCAGTTTGTAATGACACAATTGGTTCTTATGTATGCCAATGTCCTGCTGGGTACACACGTGGAGGCAACGGTGAATGTGAAAATATCAATGAATGCTCTATAGGTATGTTCGTATGTCCATCGACAGCAGTTTGTAATGACACTATTGGTTCTTATGTATGCCAATGTCCTGCTGGGTTCACACTGGGAGGCAATGGTGAATGTGAAAATATCAATGAATGCTCTATAGGTATGTTCGTATGTCCATCGGCAGCAGTTTGTAATGACACAATTGGTTCTTATGAATGCCAATGTCCTGCTTGGTACACACGTGGAGGCAACGGTGAATGTGAAAATATCAATGAATGCTCTATAGGTATGTTCGTATGTCCATCGGCAGCAGTTTGTATTGACACAATTGGTTCTTATGAATGCCAATGTCCTGCTGGGTTCACACTGGGAGGCAATGGTGAATGTGAAAATGTCAATGAATGCTCTATAGGTATGTTCGTATGTCCATCGGCAGCAGTTTGTATTGACACAATTGGTTCTTATGTATGCCAATGTCCTGCTGGGTACACACTGGGAGGCAACGGTGAATGTAAAAATATCAATGAATGCTCTATAGGTATGTTCGTATGTCCTGCGTCAGAAGTTTGTAATGACACAATTGGTTCTTATGAATGCCAATGTCCTACTGGGTTCACACGGGGAGGCAACGGTGAATGTGAAAATGTCAACGAATGCTTTGAAGGTCTCTCCGTATGTCCTGTGGAAGAAGTTTGTAATGACACGATTGGTTCATATGTATGCCAATGTCCTGCTGGGTTCACACGGGGAGGCAGCGGTGAATGCGAAAATATCAATGAATGCGCTCAATCTGTGCACATGTGTTCTGCAACAAAAGTTTGTAAGGACACGAATGGTTCATATGTATGCCAATGTCCTGCTGGGTTCACACTAGGAGGCAACAGTGAATGCGAGAATATCGATGAATGCTCTCCTTCTATACACGTGTGTTCTGGGATAGAAGCATGTAATGATGTTATGCCTCTATGTCCTGTGGAAGAATTTTGCAATGACACAATCGGTTCATATGCATGCAAATGTTATCCTGGGTTCACGCGAGGAGTCAATGGAGAATGTGAAAATATCGATGAGTGCTCTCAAGTTATATCCGTATGTCCTACGGGAGAAATGTGCAATGACATATTTGGTTCATTTGTATGCCAATGTCCTGCTGGGTACACACGGGGAGGCAACGGTGAATGTGAAAATATCAATGAATGCTCTATAGGTATGTTCGTATGTCCATCGGCAGCAGTTTGTATTGACACAATTGGTTCTTATGAATGCCAATGTCCTGCTGGGTACACACGTGGAGGCAACGGTGAATGTGAAAATATCAATGAATGCTCTATAGGTATGTTCGTATGTCCATCGACAGCAGTTTGTAATGACACAATTGGTTCTTATGTATGCCAATGTCCTGCTGGGTACACACTGGGAGGCAACGGTGAATGTGAAAATGTCAATGAATGCTCTATAGGTATGTTCGTATGTCCATCGACAGCAGTTTGTAATGACACAATTGGTTCTTATGAATGCCAATGTCCTGCTGGGTACACACGTGGAGGCAACGGTGAATGTGAAAATGTCAATGAATGCTCTATAGGTATGTTCGTATGTCCATCGGCAGCAGTTTGTAATGACACAATTGGTTCTTATGAATGCCAATGTCCTGCTGGGTACACACTGGGAGGCAACGGTGAATGTAAAAATATCAATGAATGCTCTATAGGTATGTTCGTATGTCCATCGGCAGCAGTTTGTATTGACACAATTGGTTCTTATGAATGCCAATGTCCTGCTGGGTACACACTGGGAGGCAACGGTGAATGTGAAAATATCAATGAATGCTCTATAGGTATGTTCGTATGTCCATCGGCAGCAGTTTGTAATGACACAATTGGTTCTTATGAATGCCAATGTCCTGCTGGGTACACACTGGGAGGCAACGGTGAATGTAAAAATATCAATGAATGCTCTATAGGTATGTTCGTATGTCCTGCGTCAGAAATTTGTAATGACACAATTGGTTCTTATGAATGCCAATGTCCTACTGGGTTCACACGGGGAGGCAACGGTGAATGTGAAAATGTCAACGAATGCTTTGAAGGTCTCTCCGTATGTCCTGTGGAAGAAGTTTGTAATGACACGATTGGTTCATATACGTGCCAATGTCCTGTTGGGTTCACAGAGAAAGCCAATGGCGAATGCGAAAATGTCAATGAATGCTCTCAAGCTGTACCCGCGTGTTCCGCGCAAGCAGTTTGCACTGACACACGTGGCTCATACTTATGCCATTGTCCTGCTGGATACACTGGGAATGGCATAGTGTGCACCAACGTGAATGAATGTAGCGATAGTCCGTGTGGGATTTGCCGCGCTCCAGATAAAGACAATTGCACGGCGTGTGCCACTTGCTTGGATACCAGCGGATCCTACCTGTGCCAGTGCCCAATGCTGTACAGCTGGACGGGTTCTGGCTGCAGTCTGGCTGTGGACGCCTGCAGTTACGGTCTGCATCAGTGTAGTGTCAACAGCACATGTTCACCGATGAATGGCTCTAGTGGCAGTCCTGTGAACACAGCTGAGCAATGCTATTCGTGTTCATGCCTTGAGGGTTACACTGGAAATGGCTCGCACTGCTCCCCTGTAAATGTCTTCCGTAAGTCTCGTTAATGTTTAGTGTAATACAAGAAACTAACTCTCCTCCTCCATGCGCTCTAAAGCCCACCATTGCTACCCTCGGTAGCCATTACTCACCCCAATAACTTCAAACAACGAAGGGGTCACGGGTAAAACAGTTCCTTCTGACAGCTTGTTTAGTTGCTTGCCAAAACGCTTTTCTTTTCCATGATCAGTTACGAATTTACACGCTCGTAGTCTGTATCTGTGCTGCATTTTCGAGCCATGCAAAATGTTAGCAGCTTGTGATTGGACGAATACAGTGTCTCACCTGCTATTTTCCTAGAACCAAGGGCTTTGAGAATTTTCTTGGAACTTCTCATTGTTACACCTTGCCTAGTTTCATTCTTGCGCCCATAATAATTACACCGTATAGAATCAGTACGCCATGTCAATTACAATATCAGTATCACCTTCTCTGACGAGCCTTTGATAGGCGAAACAGCTGTCAGAAGGAAATGTTTTACCTGTGACCCCTTCGTTGTTTGAAGTTATTTTGGTGTGAGTATTGGCTACCGAGGGTAGCAATTGTCGGCTTTAGAGCGCATGGAGGAGGAGAGTTAGTTTCTTGTATTATTCAACAGCCGAAAGGTACCGTTCAACAGCTTATTAATGTTTAGTGTCTTCTGTCAAAGTGTTTGAACAACTGTTAGACCGCTTTTAATTAATAACAAACAATTGCGTTTGATGATTGGAACGGGAAATTCGATTCTGGAAAATATTCGAACACGTGTTATGTACTTGGCTTTGCCTACGGCCTTTATACTCTTGATAGCTGTATTAAATGAGTATCTCCTCACAGATAAGCTATGTTTAATTTTGTTAAATTTTGAAATTGTTATGTGCTAAAAGTGAGGTATACGGCCTTGAGCCTGTTATGACTGCCAGAATTGTTACCATTTCACCTCGCTAACTGAACTGTCTCCGTCCGCCTGTGCATCTCACACATGACTTTAGAAGCCACTTTTAAAGGTCGAAAAGATTGAAAAGAAGAATCTCCACCAACGACAAAAAAATCACAACGAAGATACTGACGAAAGCAAAGCTGCGTGTCACTCGAGTCCAACGCTCCAAACGAAAAGAATGTGTAGATCACGTGCATGCAGGAGAAAAAACCGTATAAATAGAGAGGTTCTGCAAAACGAAAATGTGTACGAACTTTCGCTCTACGTCACGAAGTGAGAAACTTCGCACGAACTTTCGCAACTTTGGACGCGAAACTTGCAGGGAACGCGAAATGAACTTTCGGAGGAAGTTTCGTGAGATTGGGTCATGTCGTACGTGCACTTGGCGCGTGCAAACTACGAAAATGTGCAGAACACAAAGTTCGTGCGAAAATTCGTACACACTTTCGCAAGGCCTGTCGCAAAACTTCGTTCGAACTTTCGTTGTGCAGAACCTCTCTAATGTCACGTTACCATGGTGATGTTGTGTATACTTTATTTATAATGGAAATCAAAACAGGCAAAATGCCTAATAACATTGGACACACTTTGAATAAAATGTTGAAGGATATTGTGGAAAAGTAGATATAGGAGAAAGAGAAAGAAAAGAAAAAGGAAGGTTGGTTGCAACGAACAGATATCAATCCAGTGAGCATTGGAAAACCTATGTCGCTGTTAATATATACTGCAAGGCTTGAGATTTGAAATCCAAATACCCATTTGAACATTTTACTGCTGCTGGCAATCTATTCCACATAATGGCTCCAGCGTGCGTTTAATAGGCGCTTAGCAGAACGAGCAGTGCTAGCAGGTGGGACCACAAGCAAGTTGCTTTGGCCTCCTCGAGTGCGAGTTGAGGGCACGACAGCAAAAAGGACTGAAATAGGGTGCTACATGCATCATGCAGACATCGCCAGATGAAACAAAACATAAGTGCACAGAAACCTGTAGATCACATACATGCATTCGATTTAGCAGGGGAGCAGAAGTGGTCCACGGTGGCGACTTGCAGACTGCCCGAGCATCACGTTTGAACAGCCTATGTAGCCATTGTTCTTGAGCAACTGATAAATACGGGTAGTACCTAATAGAAGAATACAAAAATTCTGGCAAAATGATAGATCTGAAGTAGGTGAGTCGGCATGGATATGGCAGCGAGGAAGCATGTCACAGCAGGACAGCAATTTTGCAGGCAACACGATGAGCAACATGGTCCACCATTGTGCTCCAACTCATGTTCGAGTCAAAATGCAGGCCAATGTATTTGGCAGATGTGAGTACTGGTAGGACTTGTGAATTGCATACAACATTGATGTCGAGGGCTGTTGTTACCATGGTGATACGAGCTGAACTGTACCCACAGGCACCAACAATAACGGAAAATCAAGAAAAGTCGGAAAATAATTCAAACAGTGAAATTCGAAAGTGGAAGTCCAAAAGAAAGTTCAAAGAACAGGGAAAACGAAGATCTGTGCTGAAAGGAATTCAAACTACTTTCAACCATCTTCTGTCAGAGAGTGTTAGCACCCGCATACGCAGGGTGAAGGTAAGCCTTGTCAGAGCAGAACCTACACTGGAACAGACTAGAGCTGCAGAACGTGAAGGAATGAAAGATAAGTAAAACTTCAAATTCAAGATAATCAACTTAGAAACAACACCAGCTGTTTTGTAACCTGTAAACTGCTTGTAGCAATCAGTGATGTACTTATAACTACTAGTGACTCCTAGTAAGCACGTTGCCTGTGCTCTCTGAAGAGCAAATGATTCAGTGATTCCAACAAAAATATAGAACAAATACATTGTGACATTCGACTCGTAAATTCTACAATATCAGGAGTCTTCTGCACACTAACCAAGAAAACCGTCTGCAGATTGTAATTTTTTTTAAAGTGACTTTAGTATAATGTGCTCTTACAGCATGCTTTAAAGAGTATCTACAGTCGGACGCCTGTCACGGTGACAGATGTCGAGTCATGCCTGAAATCAGTGGATGCAAGCAAAGCCACGGGCAGTGATGGGATTCCCAGTTTCCTGCTCAAGCAACATGCCTCTGTTCTTGCACCGAATCTCACCAGCATTATAAATTTGTCTCTTAGAACTGGACAGGTTCCGCCAACCTTCAAAGTGTCACATGTCAGTCCCCTATTTAAGAGTGGCGACTCAACCCTGCCACAGAACTATCGTCATGTGTCTCTCCTCCCCATTATCTCCCGTATTCTGGAGACAATGGTTAAGACACCACTCACTGACTATCTGGAGACACACCAGCTATTTCCCGACAGCCAGTTTGCTTATCGCAAGCAACATTCGACTGAGGTTGCACTTGTGTTAGCTGTAAATCGATGGCTAGATGCAAACGAGAGTTCACTGGGACAGTGTTTGTGGATATGTCGAAAGCTTTCGACCGTGTTAAACATGAACGTTTAGTTACAGTTTTTTCCCTTGGTATAGATGGAACTGCATTAGAATGGTTCACTAACTACCTCTCAGGGCGTTTCCAGAGAGTCAAAGTTCTGGACTCTGTTAGTGAAGCCGTCAGTTGCTCCCGTGGTGTTCCACAAGGTAGCGTCCTTGGGCCACCGCTTTTTGTGCTCTACTCTAGTGAACTCCACACCATACTGCCACCGTCTGTACAGCACCAAGAATTTGCAGATGACATTGTCATCGACTGCTCCCATTCTGATCCTACTGTAGTGTGCATAACCCTCACGCAAGCCATGCCAAACCTTGCTACCTGGTTGGAGGACATTGGCCTGCTCCTCAACACTACCAAGAAACAGTTGCTTTTCATCCAGCCACGAAGCGCGGCTGCAATACAACCGGAGGTCTTCTGCAATGGCGAGAAACTTTGTGTGACGCCTACAGCCCAGTACCTTGGTTTAGTCTTGGATAACGATTTATACTGGGCTCCACATGTGGAGTATATTGGTCGCAAGACAGCGCGAACAATTGGTCAGCTCTGGAGGCATGGACGAGGACTGAGTTTTCTTGCCCGGCGAACGTGGTTCCTGAGCATGATCCTTTCCCAGCTGTGTTATGGTTCAAACAGTTTCTTTCCAGGACTTAGCGCACACCTGCTTTGTCAGCTTGAAAGGATGTTCAAGGCTGGCATCCGTGCCACCTTGCAACAGCGGTTCTTGACTCCAACTGCCTCGCTGCCCTCTCTGCTCAGCATTGTTAGTCTACCACATACATATACACACAAAATTGTCATATTTGTTCATCGATGCATTAACTCCTCCTGTAGCCCCTTCTTCAACAGTTATTCACCCGAACGGCCCCAGAGACTGTTCCGGAGGATCAGCGCACCACACGGGACAAGTGTCGAACTTGCTTCAAGTTCCATTTCTTCGTGGGCCTGCGGGACGATCGACCATGATGTTTCGGGGAAGCATTGTGTGGAACGCTCTCCCCTCTGATTTTATAGTGATAGGTGTCCCGGTCCCTTCCGAAAAGCTCTTTCTGCCATTGATATACTTACTTTGTATATCCTCGTTAAACTTTTATTATCTGCCATGAATTCCAACCTTCTCATCTATCAATCATTTGTGCAAGCATGTCTATAAAATCAACCACGTGTTCCTGACTCCATGAAATTGTCTTTCTATTCTTTGACACCATGAAATTATTGTCTTTCTATTTCTGACTCCATGAAATTGTCTGCATATAATTTTTCCTTTTCTTCTTTTGGTACTTTCTGCCTTATATTATTATCATTTCTTGTTTTCCCTTGCATCTCATGCCTTCATCATTCTGTGAGAACCTGTCCTATGGGCAGGTGAGAAGGCATCTCTGCCTGTTCATTTGGTGAAGTATAATAAACAACAACAACAACGTCAGTCGTCGCCAAAAGAATCCGGCCACTGCAGCTCTACTATTCATCAGGGGCTTGACACAACCTTTATTGCTGAACCCACAAATTATAATACAGATTGTAAGCAGCCCCTAGTCAGTAGTTGTCACGTTTGTCCTTGTCTCAGTACCATCGTCTTTCATTATTATTTACGAGTTGAGTATGTGAAAATAGTAAAAAGAAAAGAAAAAAAGAAAAAAACAATCGATCTAAAGGATATAAAAGAAAAAGCCATTAATGACAGAACAAAACAAAACAAAAAGAAGAAGAAGAAGACGAAAAGCTGTATAGACTTTTGTGTGTACTTTATTCATGTAAAACACGGTGGAGACAATAGACACCCTTAGCAAAAAACGTTATGTTGTAACGGTATTATCGTAAGGGGAGAAATACCGTGGGTTCGACCTTTAGCAAGATGCACGCTATTTTTAGTACGCTGTTGCCACGAGAATAGCTTTTATTTCGCGCGGTACTACCATATATGTCACCATATACATGATACAAGGTGAAATGCGGACCGACTACCGTTTGTCACAATGATAAATCAGCCCCCAGAACGTTTTACGCTGCAGCTTCGACGCTATTTGGGTGATCAAGGTACGAGTACCGTAAAAAATAGCGTTACCGTAGTTTGCTCAGGGTGTCTAAAGTGCAATAAAACGATGAAATAGGAAGAAATGGTGTAGAGAAATATCAGGATTCAAACAGGTTTTCGTACAACACTCATCAGGAATCGTCGTTATACTAAAGGACACTGAAACAAAATTGAACCAATAGAATCCGGGATGGCAGAAGTCATCGCCTCCACCAACACATCACGCAGCTCATTGTGTCACAGACTTGGGTAGCCCCCTGCAGGGCATGTCAATGCATGGTCGACAGGCATGTCTCTACCACACACACAAGTTGGTGGGAGGCCGTCAATACCCCAGCCATAGCGCAGGACGAGACCATCCCGTAAACATGCTTTGTTTATCGCAAAGCCGTTCACAGCCAGAGGCTCAGCCGTTAACCAACTGGAAACGCCAGCATCAGCAGCAATCTCCAACAGCACCTGCTGAGATAGGCTGAGGTCAGGACGCAAAGCAACCTGAGCCTCCTTAGCCGCAGTAGCCATTCTCCGACGTTCGACATTTCGCACCGCAAATCAGCTGCAGGAATGTCAGCATAAGGGCGACGAAGCAAATCAATCACTGGCCGTGCCGAGGCCATACTAGAGGTCCACTGAGGCAATGGCAGGAATTGCGAGGCCACTGGATTTGACAGGCAAACCGATGAGACTCTTCTCAACGGTGGACATGTTCTTCTGACCACTGATTGCTGGTATCAAATTATTGTCAATCACAGTATCGAGTCTGCCGAAACATCCGGGTCCGGCAAGCCATGCGAGCACTTAGTGGTAACGCCAACGTGACTTCAGTCCGCAGGAGAAGACAGAGTAAGCACCATGTGGCTGGGTTTCCGCCAGAGTCGAGAGATTACCGACCGACCTGTACCATACGGAAACATGACGACACAGGCTCTCCTCTACGAAATCCTTCTCACCAATGCTGCTCATAGAGTTCACAAATCATAGGAACCACCGCTAGGGCAAACATAGCCATGGCCAGAGGATCTCTCTGAGAAGTTTCCTCACGCTAGAACAATACTACGCCACCTGGAAGAAAATATGGAGTATCCGCACCCTATGTATTTCGACCAAAAAAATATTGGAATCAGCCGGATTTTTTTTGGCGACGCCTGTATCTAGCTGGGAGCGGTTATATGGTGTCTGCCTTCCCATGCGCCAACACTCAAGACAAGGGGTTATGGTTGTGGAAGAATTATATCAAGTCACATATTCAAGGATCTCCTAAAGTATCTTATGCCAGGTGATAACAAAACGAGTGCGGGTTGGGAGCACCTGAGAAGAAAGAGATTGACAGGGTTGTGTTCTTGTTCTTTCGTTTGTTCTTGTTGTCTTGATAGGGAAGTCCGAGGGCAACGCGGCTACAGTAGGCCTCAGTTGGTGGCTGGTGTTGATTGTGGCGCTAGCCGTGGTGATCTTCGTCGGAATAATCGCACTCCTGGTCCTAGTGTCGAAGCGGAAGAAGGATCGTCAGCAGTGTTCAGGAACGGCTATAGCACATAAGCCTGTGGCAGGGTGAGTCAACCGTATGCCTCCAGCCGGCATTTTCGATTATTTTTCATGGAATGCAAACGTTCAGCTGTGACCCTCCCCACAAACCTCCCCACACACTTCCTCACCCCTCTGAACAAAAATAAACAGTTACTGACTTGATATCTGGAATAGGGTGATGTTTGAGGTATTAGTATGTTTTTAATGAAATGCTTCTCAACCCACCTACCTACACGAATAATTATAAAAAGAAGTGAATTTAGCTGTTTTCGCAACACCATATAAATGACAACCATTCTGGAATGGGAATGGGTAAGAATCACCTGACAATGACAACCATTCTGGAATGGGAATGGGTAAGAATCACCTGATCAAACAAACGCAGCAGAATCAACTAGGAATTACTTGACATAAAAATTCCAGGATGTCGTTGTGTCTCTTCTCTTTTACCCGACTCTAGTTTCCTTGAGAGAGTCAAGGTACTTCTGAGTGCATGATTTGAGGCACTTGAACCTGATGCTACATTGTTTGGCTCGTGGCAACCATTATCATTTTTGATTCCAGAATGAGAATGCTCATTCCAGCATGTGAGGTGGAATGATCATTCTCCAAATAGAATCATCGTCAGCGATTCCGATTCTGGAATGGGACCAACCTAACACACTTTATTGACCAACCAAACGGGCGAGAATGATTCCGAGTGATTCCAAGTGATTCCCATTTGGGAATGTGACCAACCAAACGTAACCTCAGCCTGACTGCATGTTATTGAGTTTTGAGGTTTGCCAACTTCTTCCATCATGCCTAAATCTTCGTTCGACCCAGCAATGGAGAGAGAGCTCTTGGAGCAGTACATGGTGATTTTTGCGGGCTCTGCATGCAAAACGTTGACTGCAAATGATGAATGCCACCCAAGCACCGAACACTCCGGACATCGTATTCTTTCCGTCGACACGCAAAAAATCCGTAGCGCCTCTACGGATTTTGGAACGAAAAATCGTATTCCGGAACGTCTCGATTCTTTCAAGTTGCTTCACGCTATGATCTTCCGATTGAAAGCCCTATTTGGATACGGTGATATTTGAATAAAGCCTAGTTCACATTCGACGGGGCTCGACGGGACGCGACGTAAGGATCGATGGGAAGCGACGGGACAGTCGGCATCCGATGTGAACACCAGTAACGGGAACGCAACCGTACTGCCATACGAATCGGGAAGCGACGGGAAGAGTTGGATTGATCCAACTTTTCATACCGTAGATGGGCGTAGACAGGGACGTAAGCGTGCAAAACAGCTGCATTTTGAGTGAGAACAGGAGGCGGTGTCGTGCGCCGACTTCTCCCGATTCGTACTTGGAAATTGTTAGCATTTCAAACATTGCGCTTCCCATGATAACTCGCAGAATGGCTAACATGACTTGAGTTGAATTTTAGCAAGATAAGGTCTATTCGAACTTATATTCTACTTTTTTCTTAGGGATAGTTCAGGAGCATGACAGACGAACTGGTTTATCATTTCCTGGAACTATTATTTGATTGGCACACCTTTCGAAGCTACTTTTTTGGTGTTCATGAAAAACCAGTATTGTGAACTTGATTCAGCTTCATTCAAGGAGAAATAATTGAAAAGAAGTACCGAAAAACAAGAAATTAGGTCCAAAAGCCACCCTGTTACGGACTGTGGCTTACGAGTCATGACTGGCACCGTTCGCTGTTGAACGACGCAACGACTGCAGCAGGTGTATGTATGCAAGATGTATCAAGGAAATTCATGCAGCACAGGGCGATAGTGTGGGTTTGAAACCAGGGGTATGTGTTGCAAAGAAATACTTCAAAGTAGAAAAAATAAAATAAATGAAACGAGTGAGCTTGATGCCTTTTTGCCTAGCTCACCGCGCATGTTATTCGAACTGATTGAAGCGGGTTTTCAATAGGATGATGGGGCCGATTAGTTCTAATAACATGCATGATGAGCTAGACAAAAAACACTTACCGTAGGGCCCTGAGCTTTTAAGATCTCTCCTTAAAACACAATTTTAAAATTTCGCATCTCCACTGTCGTACTGTGCAGGAAAGACGTTACCTACGATTCGTTTCAAGGCAGAAAAGATAAGAATGGAAATCATTACGATTTCAATTACTCGGGTGCTGACAATGGCGGCAGGAACTCGGATTACATGACTTGCAGCCCCTCAGCACCGCGACACAATTGGTCTCCTGACGGTGGCGAGGCGCACGAATCCGACAAAGGGCGGGTTGCCAAAAGCATCCTCTCCGGAAAGCACAGCTTGCTGCGGCCATCCGTCAGCGAAATCAGCTCCACACTGAGCATGAGTGATGAGCCAATTGCCGCCAGTTCGTCCTATTCTACATTGGTGTCTGCCACCATACTAAAGATGGGTGACTGTAACGAGATCGATGAATGGGGCCCAGAGGTGGGCTGGAGGGATATGACGCCCACCAGGGCGGAGATGAATTACGCTGCCCCTCGCGCATGTGCCAGCAACAGCAGTCTTCTAGGTAGTAGAAGCCGTGCCACCACCACAAGCACTGTCCTGAACAGTGCCCATTCGATTGGCTACAACGATGTGATATACTGTGGAGATCTTGATTGCTGGGAAGATCCAGATTGCCAAAGAAACGGTGTGGAGTACGCCACCACCACCGGTGCAAATCTAATGGCAGCAGCCAACAATAGTCCAGGAATAAAAGCCGGTACCCGTGGAATATCCGCGTCCTCTGCCGAATTAGCAGCCTGTGTGAAGCAAGTCCAGGGACAATACGTGTTCAGGGCAACCACTGGCTGCCTGGTCCCATTGAATGCGTTCCGCGTGCCGATTGACGGAAACCGTCTCCTTGACTACATGGTGATGAGTGACCCGGACGGCAGTTACACTCTGTATGACCACACCAGAGCCGACTTTCACGGCGTTGCCAGGGCGCACGAGATCAGCCTGGCCGACTGGATAAGCCAGGCCGAGCTGAGCGAGGCATTCAAACACTCGCCCTGGCTCACCACCGAGGACCTCCAGCCACAGTACTCCAAGGAGCGAGCAGTTTTCAGAGGCTCGTCCGGAGAGTTCACGTTCACGGGTGGCACGCGAGGTGTGTCCGTGCCCGTGAAGAGCGTGTTTGGCGACAGGGTCAACGAAGGAAACTTCCAGGAGCGGCTGGTGGCTGTAGATCGGTTTGGGTGCTATGCCCTACTGGAAAAGCACACACGTCACCTGGTTGCCACGAGCATTGTGTCGGAGAACACCAACTCAACAGACAAGAACACCAACTCAACAGACAAGGCAACCAACAACTACATAGAAACCGAATCAGCGGCAAGCTCATTGTACGCGTCTTTTGAGCCCAATCAAATAACGTCTCGCCCGGCACAGAAACTACCGACGGCCAGGATTCACGCCATTCAGTTACAGCAAGTGTTTGAAGACCGTAAGGGGCAGTTCGCCTTCGCCACAAACTACGGCGCTGTCATTCCTCTTAGCGTCTTCGCCTCCTCGTCAGGATTCGATGGCTCGTTCACCGCTCAGTGTAGTGTCGGATCGATCAACGCAAGGGAAATCGGCCTCTTTGAAGAGGGCTCAGTAACTCCAGTCGCGGTCGTCAGTCTGAACCAGGTCACGAAACACTTAGCTGCGGCCAAAGTCAAGCCTGTTGTTGAACAAGCCAGTTTGGCTCGTGCGGCTGACAAAAGCAAGAGGGCATTGGAGAAGGACTCGACTGGAAAACTTGCATTCCGATCCAAACATGGCGCCAGTGTTCCCGTGTCCGTGTTCAATGTAGAAATTGATGTTGACAACTTAATGGATTATGAAGTGACAGAGACCGACAGCGGAATGGTGGCGTTGTTCAACACGACAACGGCTGAACTGGTCGGCACTGCTGACTGTTCAGTGGCCACCAGAGGGAGCGCATCCAAGGCGGTGCGCTTCCATGCGCCAAACGCCAGGGCGGTGCTTAAGCAGCAGAAGCTGCTGAATGCAGGCGACGACAATACCATCTACGCTGAGCTGGGTTCCAAGGGAGTCCAGTCCAACAGCGATTACGACACCACAGAGTTTTATTCTCTCGTCACCAAGTCCATGCAGAACATGGCCGTACACAAGGCAGAGCTAAGAACCATCGCCGGAAGCGCGAGCGACCAAGGCCATTGTCAAATCACTGGCCGGTCTGCTGCCACGGAGGATCCTTACGCGCTCTACGAGCCCGTCGTGCCGGGAACGGACGGCGCGACCAGCCGAGAGGCGCGCGTCTACAACGTTGCCATGGTGAATGCCGGCTTTGCTATGGCTGCGGGCGCTGACGACGACGAGGATCCCTACCAACTTGTCTCCGGTCTGGTGGCCAGCAACGATAGTCGCACGGCTGAGCTTCGCATCGCCGCCGTCATTGACCAGGCGATCACAGAGGATGCCGAGGTGGAGGAGGACATCTACGCACTGGTATCGGCCAATTGTACCGTTGCCAGTAGCAACCAGGCCACACTACACACCAGCAAGCCAATGGCAGAGCAGCGTCAGGACGCCGGTCCTGACGTCTACTCGTCCCCAGCCAGGATGAAGAATACGTTCACCACATTCTCATTCACCGGAGTGAACAACACCTATTCAACCGGGTCCTCACTTGGTGGAAAACCTGTGTGTGCATCTCAGTCTGGACGCTAATTCAATTGCTCAGATACTCTACTGGTAAGAATAGTTAAACATGTTTCTGTTTATGCTGATACTGCTCACTTTGTGGGGTATATTCTCATGTCTTGAATGTGGCGATAATTATGGATTGGTAGTGAAGGGTGGAAGTCCCTATACTATGTGTGTGTGTGTGTGTGTGTGTGTGTGTTTGTGTGTGTGTGTGTGTGTTTGTGTGTGTGTGTGTGTGTGTGTGTGTTTGTGTGTGTGTGTTTGTGTGTGTGTGTGTGTGTTTGCCTGAGAGTGCCTGTATAATTATGTGTGTACATGTGTGTGTGTGTACATGTGTGTGGTGTGTATACATGTGTCTGTGCATGTGTTTGTGGGTCTGCCTGCCTGCCTGCCTGTCTGATGGGGCCTCAAAGTTCAGAAAATCGTGTTTTCGTACCTTCGAGCTGCCAGTTTTGAGAAGTTGTTAAAATTATGCATAGGCATCCGACTCGTATATCGAATAGCTTTGACAAAAACCTCCGGTATCTGAAGTAGTCACCGATGCATTCTGGAGAAAAGGTCCTCGTCAAAACGAACCTGCATCTGTGGTGGAATTCCCCCCCCCCCCCCCACACACACACACACAACCACTCTCTGACTCATTCACGCGGGCAAGAGGACGACACAGTTACTGGAACAATATCTCTTGGAATAAATAACTAACTGGTGGGCGGGGGAACGGGGGAGAAAAGACAAAGAAATAATAAACAACCAACGTTTATAAACAGAAAAAGGGCGAACACATCGAAACGACCAATCAGGGACTAATACGTACAGAACACATGACCAAGGCCAAGACAACCAGACCACGGACGAATCACACATGACTCTCATTCCCAGACCAAACTAGCACTGCGCATGTACGGCATTCACTTGACAGTCACTCTCACACAGACGGAAGCACATCCTCACACTCTGACAACGCGTACTCTTGCATGCACCACATACCATAAACGTCACACATCACCCCATACTCGCGTACACTTAGACCATATATGACATCAGACACTGGACTCCACAAGACAAGAACCAACTACAACAACATGCGTAGATCATAGTCGTAATACAAATTCGCAACACATCCACTGGTTGTGGATTAGTTGTGTGCTCTATGAATTCTTGCAAGATTGTCGTTAAAATATTCCAAACCATAGTCTCTAGAACATCCATACCCGTATTGTACATCTGCCCTGCATAAGCGAATGTCATGATGATGTTGCGTATGAAAGCATGGCCCATATTGAAGCATCACTCGAATAGAAGGTGATTTTTCGAAGCAAGTCCTGACCCAGAAGCTCTATCGTAAGCGCCTGCTTATATATGTGGCATTAGGCATACTAGGGGCGAATGCAGACATCTCTACAGTACAGGGGAGGAGGGGTAGGGGGGGGGGTGGGGGGTCAGTAAAGCAAAACCTGAATAGCTGATACATGCACACTAAGGCCTGTGGAGAATCCATAAATACAAATACAAAGTACATTACGAAATAGTGGTTGCGACTTCCGCGATGATTCTTTTTAGGAATGGGTTTACTCCCACACTGGAGCTCTCGCTATTCCGCCGATTTGGCTTGACACTTGACACTGCCTGTGAAAGCCTCTTGTACAGGCAAAATAAACAAAGTGAATGGATATGTGGTAGGAAAATGGTTTTAGAAAGGAAAAGAAAAGTTTGACTGGTTTTGCGTTTGATGAGGGTAGTTTGTACGCTCCCTTGTCACTGTAAAGTTCTGTCCATTTGGTTTTAGCGAATTCAAATACAGAAAGCAAACATCTACACAAGCACACTCCCTGAGCATTCCGGATTATCGTACGGCTGTTGATCAGGGTCTGAATACCGTAGTTCATATTGGTGGCAAGCCACTGCCCCTCAAAACGTAAAAGAAAGTACCCTATAATCCGGAGTATAAGTCACACTATGAACACTCAAAATCCATTCTAAAATGGAGGTGTAGCTTATACGCCGATGATCAAGTCAATTAATAGTATTAAATAGGGTAGATATCTGTATTATGTGTAATTTGTGGCCAGAAATGTGCGTGCGGCTTATACTCCAGTGCGGCTTATACTTCGAAAGTATGGTAGATAATGGTAGAATGTTCTGATCCGCTGTCTTCACTTTAAATGCACCTCGGGTCTGTTTCACTGCATGCATGTCTGATCTGTATGGTCACTGTATATGCTGGGGCATGTGGATGCTGTGTTTTGCAGATTGTCCAGATACGAGTTCTCCGATAAACTCGATAGACTGTGGGCAGTAGGCAGATCACGACTGCCCCAAAAACTCGCCTTTCGGTGAAGACGGAACACGCTACGACAATTGCATTTGCTTCGAAATGTTCAGGCCCTGCGCTGCCGATGTGTTCATTATTTTCTCTCGTATTTTGGTATGCCTGGCAGGCACCATCATTACCAGATTTCTCTATATTTCTAACCCAAGACTAACACATGTTCTTTTGCATTTTGCTTCTTCTTTCGCATTTATCTTCTTATCTGTGGTCTTTTCCACTGCTGTTCTTTTCAGCATCTTCCTTGCTGTGATAACTCTTACTTCACTAGTGCTAAGTGATAGGTGGTAGGTAGTGCACTGCGTGCGTCAACCAGGGTTTCACTAGCTAGGAAGCCTACCTACTGCTCTGCCAGCCAATGGCTGTACTTCTGTACTTCTGTACGCTACTATTGCTGCACATACTTGTAGCAATAGCACTTGCAAAGCAGCTATTTTAAAGGTCAATTGGGCTCGTTCGGTCGGCGTATAATATCATTTGTACTTTTAGAACTCGGATCTATTGTTTACGGTATAGCTGGTAGATCATAGTTACTGGATCTCTTGCTGCAGATCGCTTTCTCGTTATTGCAATAGCGCTCTCTAATTTCTCTTTAGGTGCATCATTTCTTCTTAAAGTTTCCTCATGACTGTGACTATGCCATGTTGTATAGACTTTGTTTACTCTGTTTCAGCCAGTCTAGTCTATTTTGTCCTCGCTGAATATTTTCCGACCCTCTTCACCTCACTTCACTTCACTTAATGGGTCGGGATGAGAAAGGTTAATTGAAAATACGTTTTTGGTGTCCGCGGTTGACGGTCTGTGTACATATGTGTGTGTGTGTGTGTGTGTGTGTGTGTGTGTGCGTGTGTGCGTGTGTGCGTGTATGTGTGTGTGTGTGTGAGATAGAGAGAGAGAGAAAGAGAAAGAGAAAGAGAGAGAGATAGAGGCCGTTTAAGCCTATCGGGTTTTTTTTTAATCGAAGCCTAACTTTGAAGATGCACTGCCGGCACATAAGCCCGGGTCTTTAGTTGATACACATAGCATTACCTGGTTTGAGTAGAAGCATGACGTGAATATAAGCCTAGCCCTTACATCGGCTTCTGCAAGAATAGGACAGGTTGTAATACGTGACGCTATGGTGTATGGAAAACTACAGAATGATAAAGATTCCACCCGCCTGACGTCATCAACTTCACTAATGTTAAAACACAGACGCATGTTTTTATAATCGATGTCTTTGTAAATGCAGAGCAAGTACATGTACCGTATTTTCGGGAGTAAAAGCCGCACATTAGGGAGGTTCTGCTATACGTGAAACGTGGAGAAATCACGTAGAGAGCAGGTGTCTGGGTTAGAGTCTACGACTTCGCGTGTTTTGGGTCCAGATTTCTACGCGGGGATGAGGTTCTCTACGGTGTGGCACACGCAAAGAAAATGCGTACGGATCTGCTGGGTATGATTCAAGTGCAGGCACAACACTGCCAAATATGGAAGGGGAAATTCCCAGTACACATCCCACGTGACTTCTCTACGTGAACGACTGAACGCAGAGCAGACAGGATTTCGTTACCACTGGTTACGTCACGAGAGAGTTCGCGTGATTCTTTGCGTCGCGTTCCCAAAACGTAGAGCAGAACCTCCCTATTAATTAAGCACCCATAAATCACCCAGAAAAGTCGGCGTGGCTACTATGATGGTCAGATTAAGAAAAGGTTTGGGATGGGTTGTCAGGGTCGTGAAGGCTCGGTGGTAAGACATTGCGTGTTATCAGCCACTAAGTGGAGGCTCATACCTTCCCTTACCCACAGCACTCAAGCACAAGAAGGCAAACGTAAACGTGAAAAGCACCGACGACGACGACTGCTTCCGCTGGTGTCTGAGGGCTGCACTGTTTCCGGATGCTAAGGAAACTCAATGCCCAGGCACGTAGTCCACAGTAGACAGCCTCGATTTCGCGGGAGTGGCCGCACCTACCCCATTCTCTCAGTTAGATGGAGTAGAGCGACATGGTGACTACACCCTCAACGTCCATAGTTGGGAGAAATGTGTTATTGTACACCGGTGGACTGAACAAAGCGGACGGCAGAACAATCAACCTCATTTCTGTGACTGATCCGGAGGACCCTGTGAAGTATCATTATACATGATGGATCAAAGACCTTAACCGCCTTCTATACAACCAAACAGAGCGCAAGCATTTCAGCGAACGCTGCCTCCACGGCTTCAACCGCGAAGACCTGCTAGAGAGCCACACTCCCAATTGTCAGGGTCTCAACCAGGCTGCAGTAGCTATTGATATGCCAAAGCCAGACACAGATCAAGCACCGATTCGCATCTACGCGGACTTCTAGAGTATAATTACCAACGAAGATCGCGAGCGACCAACATCAGACAGACCCCACAATAGGTAGCAGGGAGCAAACAACACTCCACGAGGTCTGCGGCTACTCCTGCATACTAGTGATGTGCGACGGGCAAACTCAACCGCCGGTGCTATACCGCGGACCAGATACAGGCAAACACTTCTTGGAAGCCCTGCAGCGGGAGGAGCAGAATTCCGGGGAATATCGTGCTATATTCCCTGGAAATTAAAGCTGCTGATTAGCTGTATCCATGGTTTCCTATCGTACTATTATTGGATAAAATTGTTTTGGATGGTGAAAGCAAGTAGTTTCGTTTTGTGTGGTGTGTGCGAGTGCATGTGGTGTCCTTAGAATGGTCCCATGAGTTATCATGGGTAACAACTAAAACCCTGGCTTACTTGCCGGCAGTGCATCTTGGAAATTTGGCTTCGATTAAAAAAACTCGATAGGCCTAAACTGCCTCTAGCTCTGGGGAATCGTTGAAATAAGTTATTTAAGAAACAGGCTTCTATACGACGCGGGCTCTTCTCACGCACACACACACGCACACACACACACACCTTGGTCCTTGGTCCTTGGTAACACTGCCATCAAATGTTCACGTGTCCCCTGTGCAGGGGTCGACAGCACTGAGTTCAGCATTGGACCCAGAAACGCCGCTCTACTTCCTGGACAGGAATTTAGCACAGCTATGCAGGTCGAAACCACGGGATGACTTGCAGCAGCGACCGCAGCCGAGACAATGCGCTCTGCAGCAGGGCAGGGCAACCCGCTGTTTCCGGACCGAGTCTGCCGATGCCACAGCCGAGATCGACGCCACCTCAGCAGCCGAGTTGGAGAGACACTTATGCGAAGCTAGCCCGCCAGCACTCAAGAACCATCTCCCGCACGCATTACATAGTCGGCTGCCGGACTGCTCAGATATGGGCTTCCTCCTCTCGGCCAGGCACTTGTGGCGATTCTTGTATTTCTGGTGGGCGAAAGTACGCTGGCAAACATCGCAGAGCACAGAAGTGTCACGCTGAGCCGATCGCGGTACTGGTTGAGCGGAATACGCACTGCGCCATTTCCCACGCTCCTGGGCGAGGTCGTACCATTCCGTGTGGTCGATGTTCACTGCGGGGGGGATGATTGGTTTGCTGCCATGGCACAACGTACTGAGAAGGGGCGCTTTGACTCGGCGCGCATTTGGGCCGGTATCAAGACCATGCAGACGGCTCGGCGAGGGCTTGTGGGTGTAACTGCAGTCGCTGTGCGGGACGAGAACGGAAATGTCTGTAATTCACCGGCGGATCAGGGCCGCACATGGCACCGCCACTTCTCCAAGGTTTGAAATGTTCCAACCTCGTATGAACCTGCAACTGTTGCCACCATTGAGCAACAGGAAGTGTGTGAAGACCTCGCCGATCCACCTACTCTGGAAGAGCTTAGGCAAGCTGTGCGCCGACTACGGAACGGAAAAGCAGCAGGAGGCTCTGGAATCTTACCGGAACTGCTGAAGGCTGGTGGGGATGGCCTCATGATGGCACTACTGGACCTTGTCCAGACACACACACACACACACACACACACACACACACACGCACGCACACACACACACCTTTGGACCTTTGGAAAGCCCATCGCCAAAGGCGATGATTGCTATTAGGCGAGGCAATAGTTCTTGTGTCGGGATAAATCATTCGGACGGCGAAAGTCGCGGCCGCAGACACAGACACACACACATACACACACACGCACACACACACACACGCATACACACACATACACACGCACGCACACAAAACTCACACACACACACACACACACACCTGAGACCTCAGACCTGCCCACCGCGGAAGCGATGATAGGGAGCAGCTATGTTAGACATAGCAACTTGCTCTGGGATTACACCATTCAACACACACACACACGCACACACACACACACACACACACACACAAACACACATGCACACAGACCATCACCCACGGACACCAAAAACGTATCTTAAGAAGAGAAGAGTGTCGGAAAGCAATGTACAGCAAGAGATCCAGTAACTATGATCTGTAGTCTATCCGGTCAACAATAGATCCGAGTTCTAAAAGAGCACATATTCGCCGACCAAACGAGCCCAAATGACTTTTAAAATAACTGCTTTGAACGTGCTATTGCTACAAGTATGTGCAGCAATAGTAGCGTACAGAAGTACAGAAGTACAGCCATTGGCTGGCAGAGCAGTAGGTAGGCTTCCTAGCTAGTGAAACCCTGGTTGACGCACGCAATGCACTACCTATCATCTATCACTCAGCACTAGTGAAGTAAGAGTTATCACAGCAAGGAAGATGCTGAAAAGAACAGCAGTGGAAAAGACCACAGATAAGAAGATACATGCGAAAGAAGAAGCAAAATGCAAAAGAACCTGTGTTAGTCTTGGGTTGGAAATATAGAGAAATCTGGTATTGTAATGATACCAAAATACGAGAGAAAATAATGAAACTTCGGCAGCGCAGAGCCTGAACATGTCGAAGCAAATGCAATTGCCATAGCGTGTTCTGTCTTCGCGGAGAGGTGAGATTTTGGTGCAGTCGTGTTATGTATCCTACCCACAGTCCATTGAGTTTATTGGAGAATTTGTATCTAGGCCATCTGCAAAACACAGCATCCATATGCCCGAGCATATAGCACTGTATGCCCGAGCACATACAGTGACCATACAGATCAGACATGCACGCAGTGAAACAGACCCGAGGTGCATTTGAGGTGAAGACAGCGGATCAAAACATTCTGCTGTGCTGCGACTAGCTCTGAACCCGGATTGCGTGTCGCCCAGGTACTCGGAGACTTGCCTGGAAATACGGCTGATATGAGCGACAACCGTCACCAGAGAGAAGAGTTTTCGTATAGTATTTATCAGATTGATGGGACGCATGTTAGCAACTGGGCCCTTGGTCTTGTTTGGTTTGTTCAATGGAATTAGTGTTCCTGTACCAATGACGTATGACATACATGTATCAGTGCAGTTGTCGATGTAGGCGTTAATGAGGGAGGCGATGATCGGTCCCAGCTCGTCCGTAGCATATTTGAGCAGTTCTCCAGGAACATTGTCCGGTCCACATGCCCTGCGATTCCTCAAACGAGATGCTGCCTTCGAGATTTCACTAGGTGTGATCGGGTTGTTCAGGTGGCATGGAGTTAGTGGAGCCAATGGCCCATTTGGGTTAACGAAAATCATGAGCTCGAATGTACAATCATGTAGCTGCAGCTTTTTGCGCTCTGCTTTTCTGGTGCTTGTCACACTTGCACAGTATTGATTGGTTTCTAATGCCTCGCCATGAGTTACATCCTCACAACAATCTCCAAGCGGTCACTGGGCTACAGCAATCCAAGACAGTGAACACGAATTTCAGTCATCCCCAATTTTCCGGCGAGGCTCATTGGCTTCAGGTATGCTCACCGCACAATCATACTTTCCAGCTCCTTCGACTGGGCTTCGTGGGCCGGGCTCTAGCTGGTATGGGTGAAAGCTGCTAGGCATCTACCATCGTGTCAAAAACTCTCGTCAGGTTTCTTGTGGTGTGAGAATTTTCTATTTATTTATTTATTTTATTCTTCGGAAAACACTGAATTGAGATAAATATATGATGCCATGCTAGCCTAATGACTATGTGGAAGGTAATACTGCATGCCAGTGTAATGAGAGTTCACATAATAGTAGTAGCAATTCATCATGCATCGTGTTTCAAGTCTGTGTTCGAAACTTCATAACACCTTTTCCGCCATGGGCAAAGGTGGAGAACTTGACGATCCACATCACTGACTGCAGCAGAGATGATCCCCCGCATGTCCAGTTGTCTGCAGCCCTGGAGTGCCAAGACAAGGTTTCCTCTCTTTGTGCTCAATCTCAGTCATATGAAGTCTGGACAGATGGTAGTGTCACTGATGAGGGTACAGGAGGAAATGGCTGTCTTGTCATCAAAGTCACTGATGGCCAACGCTCTCGGAAGTGTGCAGTGGAAGCAATCCTGCAGGCGTGGTAGCAACTTCCTTCACCGCCGAGGTAACTGCAGCAGTGGCCGGTATCTCCGCGGCAGGAGATCTACTTACGGCTGGCCTCACCAACACAGATGATCAACCCTCGCTGCCAGACCTCATCCTCGTTACGGACAGTCGTTCGTTGACTGATTCTGTTGTCGGTGATCCGTACCGTATTGTTAGCAGCATCCACCTTGTCTGGGTTAGCAGTCACTGTGGCTTATTCCTCAATGACAAAGTAGATCGCCTGGCTGCGGCTGGTACCCAGGTCCCCCAGGGTCACGTCCGTCTTCCAGTGCAAGCCACCAAGACTGCAGTCCGCAAGGCAACACGGTACCCGCCACCACTGCTCGACACCAAAAAAGCTTGGGGACCTTCGGACACGGAAGGCGTCCTGCAAGCTGAACCAGCTGATGACCGGCCACTGTAGTCTTCTGAATGGCTACCTCCACCGCATTGGAGCTGCAGACTCGCCTCACTGTGTCTTCTGCCCTGGCGTCGTCGAGGATGCAATCCACTTCCTTTTCGACTGCCCAGGAAGAGCACAAAGCCGTCACTTTGCAGCTCGACTTCAGTCGTCTTCATCCGCCAGTCAAGCTGTAGCCGACTCTCCCTATAATAATTATTGCACGATTCTTGCAGTTGGAGAAACTGTTATGAAGTGAGAATTTTGTTTTGTGGTGCACTGCCGAGGCCTAGCCTAACCGGGATAGACTCATTACGTCACCTTATAGAGCATGGTTCGCGCTGACGCCTGACGGACCATTTTGCAGGAGATGCCAAGGCTGGGCGAGGACGTCCAAGGACATCCATTGCGACGCGCATCACAAGCGACTTACAGAGAAGGAACATCGACTTGAAGCGCAGCAATCAGCTGGAGAAGGTGCAGGCCATTGCTCTGGACAAGCCTACAGTCATGGAGAAATCTGGCCGACAATCCATGATCTGGCGTCACGGGTCATCAGTGCACCATATTAATATCTTGATAATGGAATTTGTTTGTTTGTTTGTTTAGCTTTATTTTACTGAATTTGATCATAGGAGACAGGACAGAAGCGGAACGTATAATTATACCTACATAATTATTATTATTATTACGCGTGCTGTGGTATTATTACATGTACACTGGATTATAAATTTTATTATAATAATAGAGCTCTGCTTATCAGAGCTTCGCTGTCATGATGAATCCACAAAATTAAATTTTACTTTCAAGGTTGAAAATGCCTCCCGCCTTTCAACAGCCTTACGTAATTACGTGTATAGTACAAAAAGCGTACAAGATGTTGCCTTAATCGGGCGTGCTGCCTGAGCTGACGGGCGGGCAGCGGCTCAAAAGGGTGCCCTTAAATGTCCATTCTTGCGCACGCCCTACTACTCAGTGGCACATTACTGTGCGGACGTGTCATTTATGGAGCGGTGCCAAGCCCGTCACCCTACAACCCTGTGCAGCTGCACGTAGCGTAGGCGAGGCCATTCCAATTGACTTTCTGCCTGTAGCTGTGCTTCTCTCATTTGCAGGATCGGAATAGGAAGCAGTTGGCTCCGTTTAGAGATACGGCGGCGCCATATCGAGCGCACTAGCATATTTTTGGCTCGGAAAGACTCAAGCCGTTTGGGCAGCTGGTGGTGATTATTGTCTTCTCTGGCCTGGTTGTCTACTCTTGGTCGAGACTAATTAGAACATAACAATAATTTTGGAAGGGAGATCAGTTTTTCGCTCGTCACCGAAGACTCCATAGCACTCGAGTAGGAAAATTCCGAACAGCAAGAGACTAACGGCTGCAGACCACCGAGTACGAAGCAAAGCTTCAGGCAGCCCTTCTGCCTCGTGCCAACCACTAATAATTTCGGTTTCAACTGGTGTCTTCGACTTAACCCGGCTTGCAGCCAGCCTCGGAGTAGAGGGCCACCTAAGCGCCGGAGAACTCACCAGGTAAGGTTCAGATCTGGCTGTATGTACGTATCATCGGATATTTGTGGACGGAAAACAAACCAGAACACGAAGCCGAGAAACCACTAGGAATTTCGACCATGCGTTCCGCAATACCACTCTTCAACGTTGGTTCTTTTGCGATAGGAGCAGCAGAAATTGTTTGTTGTTTAGCTGTATTTTACTTCGCCATAGGCACAGGCAGGCAATATTATTCTGTCTCCTCACTAGGCGCAATGCCACAGTTAACCCTCATTCCATGTTTTCGGGGTCCAAACGAAGCCCAGGGGTATAGTTTTTGGTTTACATGTATATTAAAGGAAGTAAACTTCGTTGTGCCAGCGGAGAGGGCTCAACACAATAATGTGGAGCACTATCACACAGAAAAGGCACAATGGAGTTTTACAGAGTTGTCGCAACTCAGAGTTTCTTGCTCAATGCAATCATCAGGCGACTATTACATGTTCAGTGGGACTTGGCCAATAGAAAGCATAGCCTAGCGATAGCTGGTTGGTGTCTGACTCAGCCCAGAAAATATTGCCATGATGGCCGTGTGGATAGTCGCTCAGGTGAGGGAGCTATTAGCGCAGAAAGTATAGATTGCTAGTGAATATAGAAATGGAAGGTGTGAATCTGTAGACAGCAGCCAGGGTGTGACGGTAATCCTTCAGAACTGTTAAAGTGTTATTGGTGATGTGGAGGGCTCTGCTCTCACGCGGGTGTGCTCGCTTCAGATCTTGTCACAGTACACTGTATGTTTGTTTTACAAGTGCACGCAGATGTGTATGTGCATGTACATGATTGTATGTGTGTGTGTGTGTGTGCATGTGTGTGTGTGTGTGTGTGTGTGTGTGTGTGTGTGTGTGTGTGTGTGTGTGTGTGTGTGTGTGTGTGTGTGTGTGTGTGTGTGTGTGTGTGTGTGTGTGTGTGTGTGTGTGTGTGTGTGTGTGTGTGTGCATATGTGTGTATTGGGGTGGTTTCCCACCTGTGATTATGTCACGGCTTTACTGTGGCTTTTGAGTAGGAATTTGTTGGCGTGTCGGCATTTAGATACAAGCTCACTCTTCTTGTTCAGTAGCGTTGTCTTGTCCGCGGTAATGATCTGCAGTTTTTCTTCTAGGCAGAGGTTGCATCTCTTGCTGATGTTGCGGTAGGCTCGGCGTCTCTTCATGATGGACCATCAGATGGATGTCTGTTTGCCTTTCTCTTTCATTTTCCATGCGTATTTCGAGAGTTCGGTGGCACTTTGGGTGGCGCATAGATGATGTGTGGTTGTTGAAACGGTTCTTGAATTCCGGCTCCGTCGAGCCGATGTAGTGTTTGATTTGGTCGTTGTCTTCTCTGGTGACTTCCACTTGGTAAATGACATTTGTTGCCTGACACTTGCCACCAAGGGGTCAGTTCAGCTTGACACTGCAGTTACAGGGTAGGTCAGGCTTCGGCTGTTCCAGTATATGTTTGTTATGGCCGCTGATGAATGCCGACATGTTGGGCATACACGAATAACTAATTTTCACGGTGTTCAAATTGAAGATTTTTGCCAGCCTCGAGGTTTTGGTATATACCGTAAAATCCTGCCAGAGCGCTCCTACCTCCTCGACGCTTCGAGTAGGTTCAGGTGGGGAGGGGCGGATGGGCCAGTCCTACTTGCCGCATTCAGTACTACATGAAAAAGTACTCACCCTAAGAATACTGTTCGTGCATTTCGTACACCGACCAAAGGTCAAAAGCCAGGAGTCGTACAGACCAGTCAAAACTCAGGGTTTGTGCGATCCCTGGTCAAGAGGGTGGGCACTGTTGCGTACATTTCCAACGAGGTCGAGCACGCGTCTGCAGTACAGTACGGCATCACAGACTGTGACAGAGTCATACAAGGATACAATCAATCACGTCCCTGACAAGAAGTCAGGGAGGGGCGGATGGGAGAGACTGGCAGGATATTACAGTATATAGTTTTTATTTCCTTCTTGATCCTTCCATGAAATTCCAGGTGTTCCTAAACAACTCGATATCAGAGTTAATCAAATTGTTTGGGTTGGAATTGGATGATTCATTTCAATGTTATTTCGAAATCGTGCGAGGAGTGCGTTTCGACCCCGTCGAACTACATCGTAGACGGGTACAATGGGTGGTATATTTTTAACTGCCTTTAGCGTAGCTCTCATCAATTCATTCTGACATACATGTTCAAGGACCTAATCAGAACCAAGAGTATGTACCCCCCCCCCCCCCCAGAGTGTGCAACTCCTGATACCCTTTCTATGGGGTGCGCCCACGGCGAAAACTCACATCACGTGGTGTAGTGTCGCAGTTGTACGTTTCCAGCTCGTTTTTAGCGAGCAGCGGAGTAATAAAAAAGCACTCTCTGACAGAAACTCACTGCGGGTATGCAAATCCCCAGCATGATCTTGGCAGATATTCGGATTGCGCGCACGCTATCCTTCGTTTGTACATAGACAAACATATCTGAGACACGTGATGTGAGTTTTCGCCGTCGGAGACCCCATATGCAGAGTTGCACACTCTTGGGGGGGGGGGGGGGGTATTATACTCTCACCAGAACCCTAAAACATCCTGCACTACAACTTTAAAAGCATAAAGAGTACGGTGTATGAGCTCAACAAATTGTGTTCAACATGCACTGTCGTGCGAAAGATGCGACAGTGTCTCCTTGGGTTATTTTTCTGCCCGTAAGACGTAGGCTGCAGGAGTTATCATCTGGAAACCAAACACGCCTGCAAGGAACTACAAGTTATGCTATATTGTCTCCTAACACCACTTACTAAACAATCAGCTCATGCAATAATATTGCATGTTCACCAACTGGTGGTGTTTGTGGACATTATAGCGTAACTTGTAGTTCCTTGGTCCTTTTCCTTTTCTATAAGTTTGCCCTGGATTTCTAGAGCTTTCAGCCCCTGGTGCTGCTCCAAGACAAGTCAGTCGCCGAAGGGGCCCACTGTGACCACAGAAGTCACAAAAGAAGGTCAAGGCATTCCTTGCTCAGTATGCTTTCAGCCATCGTTCAGCGAACATCACATTTCTGTACAATCTGCGATGATATTATTATATTGGAAGTCCAAAGGAAATCTTTTGCTTCCAGCTTGTGAATTTTCTACTTTCAGCTCCATAATGGACTACATGAACCAATCTAATACAATCTTCAAACTAAGCGTAGAATCGAATAATATGTGTCCGGGGGTCCATTCACACTCTGCGTGCGTGTTTGTTGTACATAGCCTGTTTGAACAGTAGTTGGCAAAATACCTATTTCCAACTCCATAAAGCAACACAGGACTTGTATGTGTGTCAAGTAAGAAACCGTATGAGTGTGTCAACCCAACAAGGCATTATTCGTTTTTTCCACATTTCAACGCCTTTCGGCGATATATCGGAAATAGTAAGTTTCAGGTTTCATTCCTCCTTCACCTCATACTCCACCTTTCTGCCGAAAAAGGTAGTTTGTTTTCAGCAGTGACATACGTGAAGAGAAGCACAAGGAAAAAATCCAAAACTGGACTGAGTTCATGAGAACTCGGCGAAATACGACGGGTCTAAACTGATCCCAATATCCTTTGAATGTAGGAAAAAGTCAACATAGAATGAGGGTAGAGTCATTAGCTTATTCTCCGTTTTAGGGTATCCATAGAGCATTCGCAGATGCCGAGACCTCTGGTCGGTTGAGCATAGCAGCCCACCAGCACCATCTCACCCCATGCTAGCCCCATTTGCCTGCGGTGAGTTGAGTATCTTGTGTAAGAAGAAAATAGGATAAAAAAAACTTCCAAGCGAAGGTGCTCTTTACTTGCAGACGTGGTTGATACCGCTTCGACACAGTGCGACTGATCAAGCATGGCAGCAGTCAATGCTCTGACCGCCTGAAAGCTTGATGTCAGGCATTGGTTGCTGCTGCTCGAATCACCAATGTACTCTGTGCCGACTTCGAAGAGTCTTGCTGAGAGAAAATCCTAGTCGAAATGTCCAATGGCTTTAAAAGTGCTGTGCTTCTTGTGCCGGTACTTCAGTGTGCATCTAGGCGCTACTCTGATAGCCATACCCTGCAGTTAGGGAGTTCACCATACAATCAAATTATTTTGTGAGTTTGACCTAAACGCTCGTTTTTCTGAGGCATGGATATGCTGGAAAAAAACGTAAAGATTAGAATCAAAAACGCCCAGGCAGACGGTTGATTAGGGCGAACTTGGAGTTTCTGCAGTTGCTGAAAGCTGCTGGCGTGGTTTCCCACCACCTCTGTACTATCTCTTGCGTACTTGTGTGTGCAGGATTGTGCATGGCGGCACAGGGTGTGAGCATGCATGCCATGTGCATGCTAGCCCAACTCACTCGCTTCCATTGCCCCGCTTCCACGCTGTTTGCAGTTCACTCGATTTGTTTCCGCCCACCACCGGCAAATCGCTGTGGGCTGGTTCCTGTGATGATTTTCATTCCACCGCGATAAACGACGAGCCTAAATGTTTTAGAATCCTCTTGTTTTAGACTAATTTTAGGCCACTGAACATGATAGTTGGGTTTTCTTCGCACGGCCGAGTATGCATCTGGTTCAAATATGTACTTCCCAATGCCTTTGAACAACGCGCAATCCCATATTAAATTTTTTTCCAAACACGACATGCCTGGCACCAGCGGAAAAGCAATTCTGTAGGTCATGTGACATGTGCTCTGTACACCTATTGCACATTGTGCAGTCAATCCGTTCTCAGTTTACCCTTTGAGCTGATGCGAGCTCCACACCAAACATGCTAAGTGTGACCTTAGCACATTTCAGTTCTAGCACTGCACAAACTTAGTTGCACTCTGCCCTATGAGTGCACCTAAAGTCAAGGTGGGACACTCAAGGTGGGGGGGGGGGGGGAGGGAGGGGCTGCTCTTCAAAGATGGCACATTCCCACCTTACAGTAATACCAAAATAATATAATTATCTCTGCCCTCGGATACTGAGCCAGTAAATATAATTTAAACAGAAGATATCACATTTTAGTTGTTTGATAGCTCATTTCCAGGTGATTTCTTCTAGTTAAATTATCTCCATCCTAGTGTTATTATACCGACAGGACGTCGAATTAGTTCTGAGCACATACATATTCCATTGCAGCCACCTTCACATTCTATAAAGGTACCTCAACTTGAATGTTCAAAATACGGTCTCTTCGCTGCACATGTCACTTTCAAATAAATTTATAATTGAATTCACCCAGTTTTCGACCATGGCCCATCGGCAGTCAACACTTTGAAATGAACTCTTCCAATCCGTACTCCCCAGAGCCGGGCATTCCCGTCAACCGGGTACCTTTCTTGCCGGCCAGGAGTTCCAGAACCGGGCTTGTCGAAGGAAAGGAAAGTGCCCCCCCCCCCCCACAAGTATTGATAGGCACAAAACAAGACCACATTTTGAAGCTCGCTGTGGCGGTCGGCTTAAACAGGTTTCACTATAGTAAAGAAAAGGACCAAGGAACTACAAGTTATGCTATAATGTCCACCAATACCACCAGTGATTGTCAAGTAACTGGTGGTGTTAGTGGACATTATAGCGTAACTTGTAGTTCCTTGTTGTTTTTCTTTACTATAAAATGATCATTGGCTCTCCATCCGAGTCCATCTTTTTAAGAAGAGATGGTTAGCATTTCGTTTACTGACACAGCGATGGACTTGTGACGTCACCCTAGTTGGAATCTTACCGTTTCGTTCTACCGCTAAACAGAGCCTAATATCGTCGAAACGTATCATGCCGAAGGTATTTTGGGTGCTGGGTACAAGAGCTGTTGGATTCAGCATAAACGGTAAAATGCTAACAATGTCTATTATGAGCAGCACCCCTGGACATGAAGTTCACCATTTCATGACTGTCCCATTGTACTCTGCCTGGTGTGCTGTAAGGTCCGATTCATCTTGGATTTGTGTTCTTATCTGTCCTTTTTCAATCACACACACACACACACACACACACACACACACACACACACTTACACACACACACACACACACACACACACACACAGCACATACAGCGCACACAGCGCACACAGGGTTACTCCAACTACCGGTATGGATGCCGGACGGATTTTCCACTACTGGGCGTTTCTTGTTTTGTGCTTACAATGGCCACTGTACGTCCAAGGCAACTCGCTCTCACTTTACATTGGAGAAATGTGCATTCCAGGAGATCAAGGGAACTTTTGTAGTTGCCCACGAGATTATACACCGATTGCAGGCACAAAGAGGTGTAGAATAAATTGCGATAAATTCAAAGACGAATCCAGCTGCCCTGCCCTTTCAAAGTGTGAGTACTCTGAACCGAATGTCACGTGTGTTTGCCCAGAAGGTCAATTGATGATAGGGAACGCATGCATGGACGTCTGTAGTACTTGCTCAGAGTTTGCCAGCTGCATCACGATGGAGGGGCAGCCCAAATGCACCTGTGGAGAGGGTTATACAGGCAATGGGACACACTGCACTGCCACTGCGCGACCGACACCTCCCTACAAGAATCCGATTACGTGCCATTCCCTGCCGGATTTTGGCCGCGCACAAGCCAGTCAAGTTTGCAACTGTGATACAGACTACGAGTACAACTCTACGTCTGGGCAGTGTCAAAGAGTCTGTGCTAAATTCAATTGCACTGCGAACGCTGAATGTGAGTACGGGCAGCATGCCATTCGTTGCGTCTGCAGCAACGGCTATGTGAACAATTCGAACGCCGAATGCGTCAGAAAGGACCCGTGCGCCAGCCACCCTTGTTCTTCGCTTGCCAACTGCACCGCCAGTGCAAGTGGAACCGACCACACTTGCACGTGCAAACCAGGTTACCATGGAAATGGAACTCACTGTTCTGACGACGACGAATGCAGCAATGGAGCAAACAATTGCCATGGTAAGGCCGAGTGCAGAAACACGGACGGGTCATTCGTATGCTCGTGCCGATCGGGATATTCAGGTAATGGGCTCCAGTGCGATGATATTAATGAATGCAAACAGGCTGGAAGGTGCCATGACCATTCAACCTGTAGCAATACAGATGGCAGCTATTCATGCAGCTGCAATGATGGGTTTACAGGTAACCCTACGGGATGTTCTGATACGGATGAGTGCAATTCAGGTAGCCATAACTGTACAGCACCAATGTCCAATTGTACAAACACAATCGGTGGGTATACTTGTGGTTGTGATGCGGGGTTCACAGAGTCAGACAATGGTGAATGTGAAAATGTCGATGAATGCTTTCAAGCTAAACGAGTGTGTCCTACGGAAGCAGTTTGCACTGACATACCTGGCTCATACTTATGCCATTGTCCTGCTGGATACACTGGGAATGGCGTAGTCTGCACCAACGTGAATGAATGTAGCGATAGTCCGTGTGGGATTTGCGGCGCTCCAGATAAAAAAAATTGCACGGCGTGTGCCACTTGCTTGGATACCAGCGGGTCCTACCAGTGCCAGTGCCCGATGCTGTACAGCTGGACGGGTTTCGGCTGCAGTCTGGCTGTGGACGCCTGCAGTTACCGTCTGCATCAATGCAGTGTCAACAGCACATGTTCACCGATGAATGGCTCTAGTGGCAGCGATGTCAACACAGCTGAGCAATGCTATTCGTGTTCATGCCTTGAGGGTTACACTGGAAATGGCTCGCACTGCTTCCCGGTAAATGTCTTCCGTAAGTATCCGCCATGATGAGGTTAATGTTTAGTGTATTCTGTCAAAGTGCTGAACAACTGGTAGGCCACTCTTAATAGCAAAAAGACGAAGCTGAATCGACATTTGGGTATACTTTATTCATGCAATGTAAAACGGTGGAGACAATGTGCAATAAAACGATGAAAATTGGAAGAAATAGTGTAGAAAAAATAAGTATTCAAACAGATTTTCGTACAACACTCATCAGGAATCGTCGTTGTTCTAAAGGACACTGAAACAAAATTGAACTATTATTGGAAAGCTAAGTTAGAGGAATAACACCAAGAACAACAGCAGTGAAATTTACAATTAAAGCGAGAGCAATCATGAATGTGGGTTTTGCACTGCATGAATAAAGTATACACAAATGTCGATTCAGCTTGTCTTATTGATTTTGGTTATCAAATTATTGTCTCATTGCCGTAACAAACATTTGTGTTTGATGATTGGAACGGGGAAATTCGTTTCTGTAAAATACTTGAACAAGTTTTATGTAGTGTGATGATGTCTGTGGCCTTTATACTCTTGATAGCTGTAATTAAATGACTATCTCCTCTCTGATTTGAAACTCGGATGTTGAGCCAATAATAAATGTAGAAAGGAAAAGGACAATGGATACGAGTTACTTGTGGTGGTCAGTTTCTCTTAACGCGTATCCATATGTCCTTTTCCTCGCTAATTAATTATGTTTAGGTTTTTAATTTTATACAAAAAAAGGACCAAGGAACTACAAGTTACGCTATGCTGTCCACTAACACCACCAGTTGCTAAACAATCAGCTCATGCGATAACATTGCACGACACTGACCGATGTTATCGCATGAGCTGAGTGTTTAGTAACTGGTGGTGTTAGTGGACAGCATAGCGTAACTTGTAGTTCCTTGGTCCTTTCTCTTTTGTCTAAATTAACCCTTTGTGGGTCTTACTCAATGTATGTGAGGGGTGGTCACGCAAACACGCGTACAAACAACGAGCCATAACTCAAGTTCCGTGAGTTGTAGGTATGGGTAAACTATATATTTTCAAAATCTGTATGCCTGGACGCGTCCAGAAAACACAAGTATGACTATGTCCAGGCAAGGATATAACCCGTGGTAGCCCTTCAAGTTGAGAGAAAATACAATTGCGAACAAAAAAGCACAAAAATCACAGCACGAAGTGCATACCAAGTTCGTGATGGAGCTGAAGTCCTATGATAAACAATCAGGTAAGCGCTACGTCTTGGTGAAGAATATATCCTCCTAATTCCGTCCTTGAACTCCAATACCTCGCCATCGGCGATGCACCAGCAGCAACTGTTCCACAATATCACAGTTTTGGTTCGTTCACCTCAGCGCCGCTCGCGTCAGATTCACTCTTGCTCAGATGAGTACTCAGGCGCGATGTCACGCGTGCCGTGATTCTCACGGCCAGGCGAATCAGCTGATCGCACCTGACAAGTCCTTGTAAGAGTTGCTGTTGCTGTGCTTCCTCGCTGGTTGGTAAATTTGATTTCTTCATTCGGGGACGATTTATTTGAGCTAGGAGGACTCAACGGAGCTCTCTTTCTCACGACATTACACTGGAAATCCTCCAGGGACATCCAGCCTAGACTGGTGCCGTCAGTGTCCTCAGAAAGCTTTTCTGACACGGCCTCAAGAGATGCACTCCCATTCTCGAAATGCGCGCATGGCGGATGGTCGTCTTTTCCAATTTCACCAGACTTCAGTCGATCGATACTGCAAAAATTTGTATGGTAAGTATGGTTGTTTTTTACACCGTTGGAAAGCCTGGGACCTCAGCTACGAGTTGAGCACCATTTTAGTTGTCTCCTAGCAACAAAACTCACAGAAAATGCGATTTTACTGTAAGGGTCACATACGACCCTTACGCTTATGTGAGACCCATAAAGGGTTAAACCTTGGTTCTCCATCCGAGTCCATTCCTGCACACTTGATAAATTTTGAAATTGTTATGTGCTAAAAATGAGGTATACCTACCGCCGGTTTACAGCCTTGAGCCGGTTTGGACAAACAGAATTTTTACCATTTCACCTCAACCAACACGAAGACACTGACGCCCGCAAAGCTACATGTCACTAGCGTTCCAAACGATGTCACTAGCATTCCAAGCGATGTCACTAGCATTCCAAACGATGTCACTAGCGTTCCAAACGATGTCACTAGCGTTCCAAACGATGTCACTAGCGTTCCAAACGATGTCACTAGCGTTCCAAACGAAAATAATGTGTAGATCATGTGCAGGCAGAAAAAATCATGATGTCATGTTACCATGGTGATACAAGCTGAACTGTACCCACAGGCACGCACCGCCCAACAATAACGGAAAATAAAATAATTCAAACAGTGAAATTCGAAAGAAGAAGTACAAATGTAGAAAGGAAAAGGACATAATGGAGTTAGGAGTAACTCTCCATCACTGTAACTGGATACTATATACAGTCAGAAAGTGCAATAACTAGGCACAAAACTGACAGAGTACTGAGGCATTCGACGTCCTGACACCTAGCACTTTCTGACTGTATATAGTATCCAGTTACAGTGATGGAGAGTTACTCTTAACTCGTATCCATATGTCCTTTTCCTTTCTACATTTTATTTATGGCTCAACATCCGAGTTTCAAGAAGTACAAAGGATTTTTTTTCAACGGTCAAGGAAAACGAAGATCTGTGCTGAAAGGAATTCAAAGCAATTTCAACCATGTCCTGTAAGGGAATGTTAGCACCCACAGGGTGAAGAGAAAACCTTGTCAGAGCAGAACCTACACTAGGACGGTCTAGAGCTTGTGGGGAGATTATGCTATTATTATTACATACCGAAGGTTTATACAATGAATAAGAACAAATGCAAAGGAGCCATCAAGACTACGCTCCTTTCCGCACAAAGCAGCAAAGAAGGCATTCTTGTACATCATGGACATATTCTCTTCTGCTGTACGCGATTTAGCCTGTCGTGCCTGCATGCGCAAGGCACGCGATCTCTTTTGTTCCTTAGTTCTTTCTTGCTGTTTTGTGCGGAAAGGAGCGTAGTTTTGATGGCTCCTTTGCATTTGTTCTTATTCATTGTATAAACCTTCGGTATGTAATAATAACAGTCTAATTCTCCCACAAGCTGCAGAACGGACTTCCTGAAGGAATGCAAAGATAAGTAACAATTCAAATTCGAGATAATCAACTTAGAAACAACACCAGCTGTTTTGTAACCTGTAAACTGCTTGAAAAATCAGTGATGTACTTATAACTTACTCCTAGTAAGCGCTTTTCCTGTGCTCTCTGAAGAACGAATGATTCAGCCATTCCAAAAAAATATCGAACAAACACAGTTGATAAATAATTGTGACACTCGTCATTTCTACAACATCCGGAGTCTTCTGCACACTAACCAAACAAAACGTCTGCAGATTGTTAATTTTATTTGACTTTCGGAGCAGCATGCCTTGGAGGGTATCTATCCGGCCGGGAACGTTTATGTTCACACCCGCCAACATTCAAGACAACGGGTTGAGGTTGTGGAAGAATAGGAAGAATTGGTAGAATTGAATTAGTTTTGCAAAATTCAACTTGGATGGTGAGCCAATTAAATTATGGTGAAAAAGGAGAAGGACAAAATGTTACGAGTTATGACTAACTGTCCACCAGCGTAACCAGATCTTATACAGTCAGCGAGTGCGACAAAATGGAGAAGTGTTGGAGCTAGGTGTCAGGTCGCCGAATGTCTCAGTACTCCTTGTCAGTTTTGTGCCATTTTGTCGAACTAGCTGACTGTATAAGGTCTGGTTACGTTGGTGGACAGTTAGTCATAACTCGTAACATTTTGTCCTGCTCCTTTTTCACCATGAATTTGGTTTCTTGTGATAAGGACAGCATAACTAAATAAGGATAGCGCAACTCCTCCGTCGTCTTCATATGATCCTACAGCGCACAGCCACACCAAGTCCTAGCCTACACAGAATAGAAATAAAAAAACCTCTCCAAGCCTCTCCAAAAAAATCAAATTCTTTCCAAAAATGCGCACTTTACCCTGACTAGTGCTAAGAACTGAGACTAACTTTGTAGATCATGTCACATGACTAACTTTGTAGATCATGTCACATGACTAACTTTGTAGATCATGTCACATGACTAACTTTGTAGATCATGTCACATGACTAACTTTGTAGATCATGTCACATGACTAACTTTGTAGATCATGTCACATGACTAACTTTGTAGATCATGTCACATGACTAACTTTGTAGATCATGTCACATGACTAATTTTGTAGACCATGTCACATGACTAACTTTGTAGAGTAGAACCCGGGTTAAGGGTCATACCGGATTAGGGATCAGAGCCCGGGGGGGGGGGGGGTCACTTGGCACGTTCTTTGTTTGTTTGAAGTTTTATTTTACATCGCAAACCAAACGGGCTTTGATGCCCAATATTAAGATGGCGATAGACCTACATTGTGCGGGTGATCCTTCAGAGCCCGGGCCGGGGCCGGGGGGGGGGGGGGGTCACTTGGCATGTATATTGTGCGGGTGATCCTTAAACCGGGATTTAATTTCCGGCCCAAGGGGGGTCCCCGTCGGTTTCCGAGGAAGACGTAACTTTTTCCCTCCAAACTATTTTTCCGGGGTCCATCTACTCACAAGAAGTCGTTTTGCACACCTTTTTGCCCATCCCTGTACGACTGAGTCCAGCTATGTCCGCACAGAGTTAGGTGGACCCTTAACCCGGGTTCTACTCTAGATCATGTCACATGACTAACTTTGTAGATCATGTCACATGACTCAGGGGCGTGCTCGGCCCCCCAACTAAGGGGGTGCATGGGAGCCGAGGGGAGCCCCCCCCCCCCCGGCAATTTTCTGCAATTTGTTTGCAACCTTTCTCGAATTTTAGAGCATATTTGCATACATTACAATTGCAATTACCCAGATTGGAAATTTTAGGGGTGCACGTGCCCCCCGTGCCCATCGCCGAGCACGCGCCTGTGACTAACTTGTAGATCATGTCACATGACTAACTTTGTAGATCATGTCACATGACTAACTTTGTAGACCATGTCACATGACTAAATTTGTAGACCATGTCATATGACTAACTTTGTAGATCATGTCACATCACTAACTTTGTAGATCATGTCACATGACCAACTTTGTAGATTAAGGGGCCGTCCGTAAATATCGATGTTTTTTTAGAGACGATATTGGTGCTTCTCTCCCTTGACCCCCCCCCCCCCCCCCCTCCCCCCAGAAGACGCATATGTACATCTAGATCATGGAATCAATATTTTTGGATGCTCATTTTTTCAAATCCTTGTTCAGACAGTGAAGACTGGAAACTCTTGTGGAGTTCGTCCGTGTTTGTTCTCACTGCCTCTACATCTTGAAAAAGGTCTCCTGCAGGCATCGTTCGGCCGATTTCCACAATCAATAGCTCATTCTTTTGCTCTTGAAATTCTCCATGGGCGTACAGCTTCCAATTTTTGATTTTGTTCTTGTGTCGCGAGTTTTAGCTCCGCGAACGGAAGCTGGTTTCACATTTCTTGTATAGCCATTTAGACGTCCGCGTGCAGGGATCGGCGAAACTTCAGATATTTACATCGATAATTTTCTGATGCTCGAAAAGACGCACATGGCTCAAACCCCCTCCCCCCCCTCCCCCCAGACGCACCAATATCGTCTCTAAAAAAACATCGATATTTACGGACGGCCCCTAAGCTCGGATGGAGGGCCAAGGATTAAAATTCAAAAAGAGGAAAACTTTGGGTCCTCTTTTTGAACTTTGTAGATCATGTCACATATTCAAAGATCCTCCTTAAATATCTCCCTCCAGGTGATAACATAATGATTGCGGGTTGGGAGCACCAGAAAAAAAGAGATTGACAATGTTGTGTTCTCGTTCCTTCGCTTGTTCTTATTGTCTTGATAGAGAGGTCCAAGGGCAACGTAGCTAGAGTGGGCCTCAGTTGGTGGCTGATGTTCATTGTGGCGCTAGCCGTGATGATCTTTGTCGGAATAATCGCACTCCTAGTCCTAGTGTTGTACCGGAAGAAGGATCGTCAGCAGTGTTCAGGCACGGCTATAGCACACAAGCCACTGCCAGGGTGAGTCAACCGTATGTGGCCAGCCGGCATTTTTGATCGGAATGCAAACGTTTAGCTGTGACCCTCCCCACACACCTCCCCACACACCTCCCCACACCTCTCCACACACCTCTCCACACACCTCCCCACACACCTCCCCACACACGTCTCCACACACCTCCCCACACACCTCCCCACACACCTCCCCACACACCTCCCCACACACCTCCCCACACACGTCTCCACACACCTCCCCACACACCTTCCCACACACCTCCCCACACACGTCTCCACACACCTCCCCACACACCTCCCCACACACCTCCCCACACACCTCCCCACACACCTCCCCACACACCTCCCCACACACGTCTCCACACACCTCCCCACACACCTCCCCACACACCTCCCCACACACCTCTCCCCACACACCTCCCCACACACGTCTCCACACACCTCCCCACACACCTCCCCACACACCTCCCCACACACCTCCCCACACACCTCTCCACACACCTCCCCACACACGTCTCCACACACCTCCCCACACACCTCCCCACACACGTCTCCACACACCTCCCCACACACCTCCCCACACACCTCCCCACACACCTCCCCACACACCTTCCCACACACCTCCCCACACACCTCTCCACACACCTCCCCACACACCTCCCCACACACCTCCCCACACACCTCTCCACACACCTCCCCACACACCTCCCCACACACCTCCCCACACATCTCCCCACACACCTCCCCACACACCTCCCCACACACCTCCCCACACACCTCCCCTAATAAACCTCTGAACAATAATCCTCTGGCTCCAGTAATGTGTGAGGTATTTTAAAGCCTCACCATCACTATGCTCCCACTATGCATTTTTTTGTCTTTTACTGTGAGCTGTGATCATTGTAAAAAAAAATATATATATATATATATATGTAGGACTCAGTATAGAGTCCATGCACTATATGATGTCCAGCACCCTATATAGAGTCCATTGGTCCAAAATCCACTTTACAGAGTCCAGGAGTCAACTCAGTTTTGATCAGCTTCATCCTGCCGCACAATCCCCTATAAGGAGTACACTTTTTCTACAAGTCCCCTATTCACGGTCCAGGAGTCCAGTTTATCCAGTCACGCCGTCCTGTGTGTTGTGCCCCGAAAGAGAACACATTTTTAAAAAAAATCAGTTTTGCTTGCCTCGTGGCAGCGCATTCCTTTCTTCACTTCAGCCATGGCTGCCAATTCTGCTGTGCAGTTGCTGACAGTAATCTGTCTCGAGCTAACCAAGGAGGATAAGGAGACGTTCAAAATCAAATCTGGAAAGCGTCTTGTGGTTCTCTGAAGACGTTTCATCAGTGCGCGGGATGAAAGCAGAAATTGCAGAACGAGAAAAGTTCAGCACAGTTCAAATCTGACGAGTCAGGTACACTGACGCTCTCTTTCGTTCGACGCCACAAGGATCCCCTGTTTGGCTGGCCATTGCTGCCAGTAAGACGTTTGAACGGTTTCATCAGAGCGAGGGATGAAAGCAGAAAGCGGAGAAAGAGAAAAGTTCAGCACAGTTGCAATCTGACGAGTCAGATACACTGACACTCTCTTTCGTTCGACGCCACAAGGATACCCCTGTTTGACTGGACAAGAGCTGCCTGTACCACCGTGTCAAAAGGCTGTCCAACTACATGGCAGGACGATGACTGAGGTAAGGAAGCTTTTACTCGTTTCGATTGGTCTGCTGTTCTGTCGTTATGCTTGAATTTTTTTCCATTTTCAAGGAGCGTATCGCGTTTGTTTGATGTTGCTTGAATGAATGCCCTAAAAGTAATCAACCACTTCGTAATAGTCCTCAAGGACTGCAAGGACTTTGCATCAATATTCTGATCGTCTAGCTATCATCAATTTTTATTTCATGAGAAATGTATTTTTATCCCTGTGATAATTATGTGAACTCCACGACACTCTTCCTGTAGTATGATGTCGAATACAATGGGATCCACAAACGCAGTGCCAGTGTACTAGTAGTAGTAGGACTAGGAGGATTGCTTGTATGCCAATGACAAGAAAAAGCTTCTCAAGCTAATACTCGTATTCCCTGAAGTAACCGTTTTGATGTCACGAACATGACATTGTGTCAGTGAAACTGCCTCGTGACAACAAATCATTGCATTTCCATCTTGGGGAAGACTGACTGACAGCAACGCTGTACAGATTGTTCAAATCATCTCATTTCAATTTAGTTGCAGTGAAGTGAAACACTGTGTACACTACATGTATGGTGGTGTGTCTGTGCGTTTTGAGTGTGCACAAACGATCTTATTCCTCGTATTACTAATAGATTATTGTACCCACCATCACCTGTTCACAGGTCTTTGAGTGGATTGATTTTCATTGAGCATCACATTCGTTGCGAACTTGGTAGTTGTGTGCTCCCATGCATCATTACGGTAATAAGCGTATCCTTGTGCTATCTATTTGTTGCAGGTGTGCTGATCTTCACGGAACTGAGTGCTGCTGAACATTTGCATGGCCATGAGCAATGGTGAAGCTTGCTATTCCACTCTCAGCATGTGCTAGTATTATGCTGACCACTGCACTATGTTACTCTCTTACACTACTACGTGTATGTAAGCGTGCGTGTACCCGTCCCTGTATGCATTCGTTTCGTATAATTATTTGTTATCCCTCTTGACTTTACATGTAAATGGGTGGACGTTTGCATGGCTGTTGGAGTTGCGTGTGTATTGTGTCTCTACTCTTTTCTTGGTGTTTTCTTGGCGTTGTATAAGTGTGTGTGTGTGTGTGCGCGCACGCGCGCGCACAATAATTTGAAAACAAATAATTAATCCTGGGCTCTCCATTATTCTCTTTCGATTCTTGGTTTTTTCTAGGTATTTTCTTGGCGTTGCGTGGGTGTGTGCATGTGTGTGTGCGTGCACAATAATTTGGCAACACTACATGATTGAGATATTGTAATTTGCAGCGTCTGCGAAGAGACCACTTGATTTGAGGATGGTGTTTGTAGGGTTTTTCATGTAATGACGTGGCTGCAGTGGCGCCTCAATACATATTTTTTTAATCTTGAGAAGTGAATGATGTAAAGGATTAAAGGGAGAGGCCGTTTTCTGGTTAATATTCACTGCTTACAGCAGATCCTATGTCTATTTTCGAGCTCGATAGGGGATGCCTAATTGGCTGGACTTTATACAGGGGGTGTTGTCCACATAAAGACTCTTTATAGTTGATTTCAAAGTTTGGACTCCGTACAGTTGATTTTGGACCAATGGACTCTATATAGGGGTGAAGCCAATTGCTGGACTCTATACAGGGAGTGATGTCCATCGAAACTTTGAGCTCACAGTTGATTCCAAGTTTGGACTCTGTACAGTGGATTTTGGACCAATGGACTCTATATAGGGGTTGGACATCATATAGGGGCTGGACGCCTTACTGAGTCCAACATATATATACTCAATCTGCGGACAGCATGCTGTTTCGTTCTTTTTGAACTCATCAGCGCAGCACAGAGGAAATGAGGCCGAACCTGATAGCAATGGAAATAAAATGAGAGAATGCTTTGTTTGTCTAATCGACGGCTCGCTTGAAGTCGGGGTCATTTCAGTCTACTTGAATTCCAGACAGCAGTGGAAGGATTACTACATGTGTGAAGCATGTACCAGGCGTAGTATGCAGGCACATGCACCGGGTCAAAAAAGCGGTTTCCAAAATTTTCGACCGCGATTTTGCAATAAGCTACCTGCAGATTCCGCAGTATTACACACTGAAAAAAAGCTTTAAAAGTTATGGCTGCCAGACCCATCGAGCCATCAAAACAAATGTGGTACAAAGGCATTTTTCTTGGCTCGTCACAGTCTTGAACTTCAACTTGGCTACCGCCTTCAGCAATGCCGGTGCCGGTGGCGGAAGAAACCAACTCTCCGTCAGAAATTTCATGTCGTTCCGGGTGCGACGCTGCTGGGTTTTTTCCCCAGAGAGCTGACAAAGTCTTCTGCTGAAAACTCATTGCCTTTGTCCTCGAAACCACAAACCTGAACAGTGATTTTACTAACAAAACAGACAGCCGCTCGTACTTGAGTCCAAGACCAAAGCACCCACTTCAAAACCAAGTTGAAAGCAATTGTTTTCAACTTGGACATATGCGACATGCCTTCTGTCCGCGCTTTGCCTTTGATGTCCTTTCACAAGCACGGGACACTGTACAGCGTAGTCGAGTCCAGCCAATAAATTATTTGCATCGCGCGTCAGTGAACATGTCACTAGCGCCGGTACCGCAGTGACTGTGCCTGAATGCAATATGACTGTATAGCTACTTAGGTCGAGTGCCAGTAACGTAGATGACTGTAATGTGCACGTGCATGCATGATACTTGGTAGTACTCATTGCACCATGTAGATCTACCAGTGCATGCAGTGGCCTTCACGCGTACGTGTACGTGCAGATCTACGCACCCGTGGGATTGGAAGCTCCGTACAGAACTACTCTACATGGTATTGTACACTGTACTTAGCAGTAGCGGTGGTGGGCATGTGCACTACACGTTACCTGCCTTTCACACGAAAAGTGAATCTACGAACACGGTGACAGTGCACGCGCACCGCATGCTGCGCATGCAGCGAAAATATCGCTGACCGCAAAAAGGTGGTTTCCGGGCTCCAAGAAAACCACGCGGTGCACGCGCCTGGTCGGTAAGGTACATTGTGAGAATTCTGCCCGAACGCTTGAGGTGTCAGCCTTGCCAAGATGGCTCCTCTCTGTTTCTCGAAAGCCTGGATTTCACAGTGTGTAGTTGGACTGTGGCTCCAGCGATTCCCTTCTCAGTGCAGATACCATACAGTAGGCACATCTACCGCTATGGTGAATGCTTATCGGACACTCGGACCTGCATGCACAACAGAAATAGTGGAGAGAAATCTCTCAGCTCATGAACGCTTTTGAAGTTTGAACTGCCGTTGTCCGTGGCCATCAGTATGAACCTATCGACTATAACTATAATG